TTGGCAACCAATCACTTACATCAATCAATAAAAAATTTTCTGAAACCAAAATTTACAATTTGCCCAAAATCCTTAATTTGCATACTCAACTCAATATATGCAATGAACCATTCCAACTGAGACACTAATAGCAAATGTGTGCTAAAATTTAGTGTCTTGAACTTAAATAATTCTCTAAAATTATACATAGAATTACAATCCAAGAGCACACAAGTTTGGAGGCTAATCTACGGAGAGTACATGCTACCGATAAACTCTAAGCATACCAAAATATATTATAATGAAATAAATTCACAAAATGCATGCACATAAATTAGAAAAAAATATGAATATGCATAAAATGCATAAATATTAAATAATAATTATTTTAAAGTCATATAAAATCTAGAAAAATATAAAAAATAGAAATTAAATTCTAAGCTACCAGAAAAAAAGGGCCTAAATCAAATTTTTCTAGCCCCACACATGCCATACATGCCACCTTATGCACATGGGCTTTATCTAAGGATTGATTTAAGTTTTTTCCTACCTCTTGCCAAGTTGAGCCAACCTTACTAAAGCAAGATTCAACCCATTCGAGTTTGAATTTTCTCTCAAATTTTTTGGTTTTTAAGCCTGTTTTAATACAATCAAAATTACCAAAACTTATTAGATCCTAATTTTACAAAAGCCATGCATCAAAACACTCCAAAACTACAAAATTGAGATCAATAATCAAGAACTAGATTTTTAGGTTCTATATGTTCAAACCCTAAACATCACTATCTAATTATTATCTCTACAATACAAGTTAAGAGAATATGTTTATACCAAAACGATATATTCATTGTGAGCAACAAAAGCCCTAACTTGTTTGGGTCTTAATTTCACACAGAAGGCTCTAATACGAAATGTAAGTTTTTAATCCCTAGATCCATATGTGAAGATTAGAACACCAAGAGTCATATAAATATTATTGCATGCTTGTTTGATTCATTAAGGTAGCCATTTCTTGTAGAGGAATATTGAAGAACTATTGGTAGAAGCTAGATTTTCCTTTTCGATCCTTTCCTTTCTGGCCACTTACAATGAGTAGAGACTGTTCGTTAGAAATGAAGAAGGGACCTAGCCAGTTATTTAAATAATAAATCTTAGTAAAAGCCTCCCTATTAAAGTCTTACTGGGCCAAGGGTTACACAACCGCTAAAACACACTGACCCAATAATACGTGAAAAGCCCATCTATTTCTTGTTGTGAAATACCAGAGAACTACTAGTAGAGGCTACATCTTCCTCTTCCATCTTCTCCTTGTTGGCAACTCACAATAGGTAGAGACTGTTTGTTAAAAGTGAAGAGAGAACCTAACCAATAGTATAAATAATAAACCCTAGTAAAAGCACCTCATTAAAAGCTTACTAGGCCAAGGTCTACACAATCGTCAAACCACATTGACCTAATAAGACATGCAAAGCCCATCATCAACAGATCACTTCAATATTAATTAGGCTCTCATGCTTTATCTCACAATCGGATTCAATCTATTTTATTAAATCGAAATTACCAATAGTAGCTCACATAATAAAAAATCTAACACATTTGTCTTGCACTTTACCTCATCGTTTTTTGATATATTGATTGGGAGTATATGTGTAAGTCCACTGTTAATGTAACTGCTTTTGAAACTGGAAAACGAATGGCATAAAATAAATTTGAATGATGATTTCAACTGAAATTTTCTTAATTATTGAGTTAGGTAGTCCTTTCTTTAGCACGTATGATCTCTATTATTGGTTGTCCTTTTCGTTCCTTATTTTTTTGTAGTTATGCTGCAATTTGGCTTTTGGAAATTTTTGCCAAGGATTGCCTTACTCCATGGTTATTAGGCTGGTTTATATATATTATGGCAGGGAGATTAATATCTTTGGGGCTTTGGTTCTATTGTTTTAATACTCTTTGGAAAGGCTCTACTTTGATTTTAAGTGGGCTTTTACCACTTTAGTCTCTAATATGGAGCTGAGTTCACCAAGGTGGGGAACGCATGTGCTAGCTTTGGACATGGAAATTGGAAGCAATGTGATGATATGAGCTTCAATCCACAGAATTATTGGTGTTTGTTTGTGGTAAACTGCTGAGCTTCCATCTATATTGAGTTTGATTGATTCAATTAATGTTGGCTAATTTTCTAGATGGAGCCTTCACCATTCACCAAGCACTCTTCTCGGTGATGAAACGCCTAGCCAGATTTCTATGCTGAATATTGCAAAATGTATGCTTTTGCTTATTTTCTTTTGTAAATATATGTTAGATATTGTGCAAACAGCTTTGAGGTTGGTCCATCTCTGCAGGGATATCTTTTGATGATGTTTGTTCCTAAGTTACGCCCTAGTAGTTTTGTTGGCGTTTTGGAGGATAAGCATGGCCTTGGTTTTGATAGCTTTTATTGGATTGTGGGTAATTGTAAAGGGGCAGGATGGAGTTTAACGCTTGTTGGCTCTCACATGAGACTGCAATTTAAAAACACAACGCGACCAATAAATTCATGGTCCAAATTTGTTCCTCATTTTCTTGATAGACGAGCCACTGTTAGTTAAACATTTTGCCTCACCATTCGATGCAAAGGAATCCCAATACGATTTTCACTCCGATCTTGTCATTAGAATCTCAATCTTTCTTGATTTCATATAACTTTGGTTCTCTCTGGCCATTAACCAGCACACACTGTTTTAGGCATAATAAACAATTAAGATGAATTAAGCTTGAATATATTTCACAGCCTCCTTTACTTTAACAATGCCAGAAATCTTAGTAAGAATCCAAATGTTGCCCATATTTTAAACAGCACACTAACCCATAATAGTAAAACATACGGGTACTTGAACTGTTTGTCTGGTAGTGGGACAAAATAAACATCAAAAGATTATATACAAATAAAATTGAGGTGGTATAAATTTGTAGGAGTAGTAACACTATATCATAGTTAGCTCTTAGTTTTAAATTTTTTAGACTAATTCATCCAAAAAACCAAACTAATTTATATATATAAATAATATTTTTTAGATATATTAAGAAGAATTGATAGTAAATTTAATTAATAATATGCATAACATATATTAACTTATTATATGTATGTATAAAAATCATAATCATAATAATTTAATATTAGCTATATATATTTATTTATTTGTAAATTTGTATTAATATGAAATTACAAGCTATATATTTTAAATGATATAACTTATATATTAATCTTATAATATATGATAGTAAAAATCCTACATAACAATATCCTATAATTATTACACTGTAGTAATGTTTCATAATATAAAATGTTTTATATATATAATTGTATAAATATATTATATATATACATATATTTAATTTATATATAAGTATTATTATAACTTATTATAAACTTTATTAGTTACCACCTTAATTTTATAACCTATTGTTTATAATTAGTTATTATTTATACAAACTTTGACATAAAACATTATAACAGATAACTTGTACCATTAATTTCATATATATATATATAATAAAGTAATATTATATATATTTAATTTATATATAAGGATTACTATAACTTATAATAGAATTTATTTATATAATTACACTTAATAATTTTATTAGTTATCACTTTAGTTTTTGTAACATATTATTTATAATTAAATATTATTTATACAAACTCTGATATAAAATATTATAATATTATTATTTTATTTTGTAGATATTAATTTTATTATTTTTGACTTTTTGTTATATTGAATCTTAAATGTTAATTTGATGATTTTTGTAAAGAGACATAATTATGTGAGTGAAAGAATAAATATATGTTTTTTTTAGATTACTTATACCATGTAAGATAATCTGTATTTTCAGTGACTTCAAGAAAACGAGGCTAAAAAGAAGAACAAAGAAGGAGAAGAAGAAAACAGAGTATAAACTCAAGAAAAATCTGGAAATTTCATTGATCAAAAGAAGTGATCTGCTAAGACTCCAAAATACATTTTTATACTTAGATCTTTCCCCAGATATATTCTAGAGAAAGGATAAACCATTCAATAAAATTGGATCAAAGAAAACAGAAACGGTTAAGCAAACAAAATTGATAACAACCAAGTAACTGTAGGCTTAAGAAAAAAAATAACCACAACGACACTCATGAAGAGCGTTTAACAAAGCAGAAAATTAAAGCACTAAAACGACACTGATGGACATCGTTTCTCTTGACCTGGAACCTTCTTCCAACTTTTAGCTTTTGCAGCTGCTCCCTGCCATTCTTCAGCAAATGACTTCTCCAGATTGAGAGTCACTAAAACGACACTGATGGACATCGTTTCTCTTGACTTGGAACCTTCTTCCAACCTTTAGCTTTTGCAGCTGCTCCCTGCCATTCTTCAACAAATGACTTCTCCAGATTGAGAGTCACTTTCTTAACACTCCCCCATGATTTGAAATCTGGAGCACCCTAAGAAGAGTTCTTAGTGTTTCAAACCTCTCCCTGGACAAACCTTTAGTGAATATATCTGCTAACTGAAACTCTGTACTGCAGTGCTTGAGTTCAACCTCCTTTTTATACACAGCTTCTCTAAGAGCATGATATTTTACCTTGATATGCTTGGTTCGACCATGATGGACTGGATTTCTGGCTATTGCAATAGCTGACAGATTATCAACAAAGATCACAGTATTTTTATCTTGTTTGAAACCAAGATCATCTAGTATTTTCCTTAGATTTTATAATTATGAATGAAATTTACAAATTTTAATATTATAATTTATTAAAAAAATTATAATTTTGATCTGTTAGTCTAAAACTAAACTGACCAAATTAATTATATATTTGATCAACTTGATCTTCTTTTATCTTTGGTCAATTTTGATCAATTTTTTAAAAATATTTGATCTACCCAATCTGTCCATTTGCTCACCTTTATAAATTTGGTGTCGTCCTTAATTAGTCTCTCACCATTAATGAGCGATATAACCTGCCTTCAAAACTAGTGCTTTGATCTTTCCACATGGCTGACTTTGTCGCTCCCTCACCACTGTGTGACAATACCCTCGAGAGCTACGACGAGAAACAAGATTTAGACCTCCAAAGGACGCTTGAGAGATATAGAGAAACGCTCCGCAGCTTTCCCATAGGCAAAGGCTGGATGACTGAACATCTAGTTCATTACCAGGGATTCTGGCTTGCCCCTAAAGCTGCCTTGAAAGGTGTGATATGGATCCAAGATCGCTTCAAGGCTCGACCTACTGATATTGTCTTAGCTACATTTCCAAAAACCGGCACCACATGGCTTAGAGCACTTATTTTCGCTACCATAAACCGAACCCGCTATGATTTTTCCAAGCATCCTTTACTCACCACTGGTCCTCATGATTGCTTTCCCTTCTTGGATGCTTACATTTACGAGAATGATCAATCTGTTTCGAATCTCGATGCATCTCCTTCACCACGTCTCCTCTCAACTCACATCCCTTACACTTTGTTACCCGATTCCATGACCAATTCTTCTGGCTGCAGCTTCATTTACATCTGCCGGAACCCCAAAGATGTGCTTGTTTCCAAGTGGCTCTTTATGAACAAGTTGAGGCCCAAAGAACTCCCACCCCTTTCATTACAAGAGGCATTTGAGTTGTTTTGCCAAGGGATATCCCATTATGGACCCTATTGGGACCATGTTTTAGGGTATTGGAACGGGAGCTTAGAAACCCCAACGAAAATCTTGTTCTTGAAGTACGAGGACTTGAAGAAGGAGCCATTGGCTGTTGTTAAGCGGCTAGCTGAATTTCTTGGTCACCCTTTCTCATTAGAGGAAGAGAGCATGGGTGTGATCCAAGAAATAGTAAGGCTGTGCAGTTTTGAGAATTTGAGCAATTTGGAAGTCAATAGAACAAGCGCACAAAAATTCAGCAGAGATATCATAGTTGATAATCGTCATTTTTTCAGAAAGGGTCAAGTCGGAGACTCGGAGAATTATTTGACAGCTGAGATGATAGAACGTCTAGATGAGATAACAGCTGACAAGTTAATTGGTTCTGGATTGATATTTGGTAGCTAATTTCACGATGCACAATTGTGATAAACTATCACTTTATTAGTATTTTTGTTTTTATATTTCATTAGCTCTTTGATACTCTTTGGAAATGAATGAAATTTTCTTCGCCCTGTTTCAATGTTATTGTCTCGCTCACGTAAGTGCATACAATTGGTCCTTCCTCCTGCTAATATATATATATACCAACATTATGGTTTCAATTTTTTTAATTATAAATAGTGATTACGATCATAATTAAATAAATTTTAATATTTTATATATAGTAAATAGTATATTTATATTAATAGAAGAAATCATTAACTAAACCAATATGTTGATTTAAATGCTAATTTTGTTATTTTTTGCTTTTAAAAGCAAAAAGTAGAATATATTATCAGTGAGCCGTTCATATTATTATCTTTACATATAACTATTGTTTGTTGAAGATTTCTATATTATTTCAAGATCATATGAACATATTATCTATCAAATTTGGAATGCGACAAAATAAAAATGAAAAATTTGTTATAAAATACACAATTGCTAATAAGTTCTAAATAATATACACTTTCCAAAAGGAAAGGTCGCACATAGAGAGAATTATTTGACTTCCGTGGTGGCTGTATGCATGAATTTGATTGCGGTTCAGGCTTAAATCTGATTTATCGTAAACTTAGTCAGTCAAAATATCCTGCTTTCTTCAGGAAAGTTGGAGAATTGCAGGAATCATTTGTCAGATGAAATGACACTGATTACACCGGATCACAGAGGGCAGGCAATTTATGGTGCAGAGTTTATCTCTGTTTGCTGTCCCGAAGGTATTCCTTTACATGCCTTGCGTTATAATGTGATCAAACAAATGATTTTCATTCTGAAATTAAGAAATGAATTATTATTTAAGAAAATGGGAACTTAAATGTAATCGTTTGCAAACATATGATTATTCCTTGAGAAGAAATTTTATAATATTAGCATTCAAGGCTAGAAAAGCAATTACATGATCAACATTTCATGCCACCAAATGGCAACAACAACTACATGAACCGCTCCATGTTTCAGAGCGATCTTCCAGCTTTTCAAGGCAAATAAGTTGCAAATAGCTACTACTCATCAATTGCCTACTTTGATGGAGAATCCCATATGGCAATTTCTGAATATCCATCTTCAGTAGCACATGCACGAAACATGCCCGTGGTGTTGAAGGGCATGGTGACTTCTCCAGTGGAAGAGACAGCAACCAGCCCAACATTGCCTGGTGGAACTTGCCCTACAACGTAAGCAGCAGCTTCCTTGAGGGAAACACCTTTGAATTCCATAACAGCAGCAACATCCCTTGCAACAGTACCACGGATTATTAGTTCACCTTTGCCTGTAGCAGAAACAGCACAGAGATGGTTTGCATAAGTCCCTGCACCTATGATTGGTGTGTCCCCAATTCTACCCACCATTTTGTTCACTAGTCCACCAGTAGATGTTGCAGAGGCCAAATTCCCTTCATTATCAACAGCTACACATCCAACAGTGCCTATTTGGCTGTCACCATCACCAATTGCATCATCTTTCTTCACCTCCTTTTGAATTGGTTGTGTGTAATCAATCTGCAGATTCAAACAAAGTAGGAGACCAACAACCCAAACCATTAAGATACTTCATCTGTTAAAAATCAGACTTTGGGCAAGACAAGTTGAATGGTGGGGAAATTACTGCCAGGACATGATACAGGTAGAAAATTACTCTGCTTTTTCTAGTGAAAAAGTCTAATGCCCTACTTTTAAAAGTCATATTTTCTAAATATGGTAAAAGAAATAGACAGTTTTGGTGGTAGCCCAAAAGGATCTGTAATAGCAAAGGCACATTAATGGTAGTAGAACACACTGCAAAGATGGTTGAGGTAATGCAATTTAACACACCAAGACTATTCAAAAATAAAATTCAGTCATCTAGATGGGTAGGGAATATAAGAAAAATACCTGAACTCTATTAGCTTCTTGTGCCTGCTTAAGCCTTTCAATGTTTTCTGGAGTGACAAAATAGCTCGGATCAACAGTCTCAAGACCCTGATCAATGTAAAAGAAAACAGACATATAAAATACTGGTCATAATCATTTAGTAGTCATTCCAAGGGATAAGCACCATATATCGAGTTTGATGTAACAACAGCTGACGAGAGCATCATTATGAGCTCAAATGACATGTTTACCTCCACTCAAATTGGAAAAGATAACAAAGGAAAAAAAAAACAGCATTGTCGATGAACTTGGTTGTGAATCAAGCTTGTAAAGGGGAGGCTACAAGAAGAAGAATAAAACTGACTTATGAGCAGCATATGTTGCCAACGTCCGACAAATTAGAGCCATAAATTCTAACATTTTAAAATCCTTATTTGATTACTTCAGTGTACACTGAAAAAAATACTAAAGGCAAGCAACAAGGAACTAAAGAAATTAACATTCAGATTTTGAGGCAATTTAAGAACAGAACAGAGAGACCTTCAGCCACATGGATGTTAAAAGAGCATTAGCAAATCAAAGTATGCTTGTCACTTACTTGTTCCCTTGCAAAGGCCTCAGCCCCATCAAATGCCAGATAAATATGAGGGGTCTTCTCCATGACTGTCCGTGCAAGGGATATTGCATTAACAACAGTGCTGAGGCCAGAAACAGCTCCACATTTCTTTGTCTTGCCATCCATAATGCAAGCTTCCATCTCCACTGTGCCAGAGGTTGTTAGAACAGATCCCTTGCCCGCATTGAAATGTGGATGGTTTTCCAGTTCACGGACCTATATGTGGCAAAAATCAACAGTAGCATAAAACAAACAGAACATGAATCCAGAAAATTTTAAATTCTACAACAAACAGATTTTTTCTTTTTGTCTATTCAGATAAACATCAAAGAGATATTTAGGTGTCTGAATGCAACAAACAGCAAACACACATCAGTAGCATTGAGATTTTAATTTGTACCCAAGAAACTGCCAAAGATTTAAAGCAATAAAAAGTTAGAAAAAGAAGAAGAATCCATTTCAAGTTGACAAAAAATTAACCTCTTGAAATCTAGTACCTCTGCTTTCTGTGCACTACACTAAACATTAAAGAGAAAGTCATAAGTCATGACGCATATTCCTCAAAGAGGGATTGTTCTAATACCAAGCCAAGTGAAATTTAACCATGCAAAGCTCAATTCAGTTTCCTCATCATAATCTAAACCTTGTACAAATATGTCTATACTTCATATAAAGCTCAGACAATAACTGAGGGAGTAGTAGGTTAATTTTGGTTGTTACTTTTGCTATTTGCTCTTTTGCTTCCTAAACCGTTGTGATAAAGCAAAAAAAAAAGAGAGCAAAACCATAATTTACTGAAAACGAACAAATGACTAAAATATAATGAATCTAACATAATTCTTGTGCATAAAACATAAGACCAGTCATTTTGTTCCCGGAAAGAAAATTAAACATTTACCTTACTAATTCTTGGAAAATATAATTTGCTCTTTTATCAAGACCTTTTTACCTTTTGTCTCTAAAAATAGAAAAACAAGTAACAAAACTAACAAACATTATAGTTCCTTTGTTAACCATTTAACTATTTAACATTCTCCCTGAAGCAAAGCCACTAATCTTAAAGTAGATCGATCATATTTGTTTAACAGCTGCAGAATTTCACAATTGAATGCCCCTCAAATTACCACGATTGTTTGATAAATAAAAAAAATGGTTACGTAGAATCAGAGCATCCAATTATTTGTCAATCTAATTGTATTCCCCAGCCATAGGTCATATTGGAATCTCCATTGGCACCAACACCACGTCACAAAAAAGTAAGAAGCTCTACTTATTTTGGCATAAACCCAGAACACAGATGCAGTCAATGAACAAAAATACTAGATATAGTAATATAAGCATATACCACTAGTTCAACAACGTCCAAGGGGTGCTTATGGGCTTTGAGAGCGGCGATGCCAACGTCAAGGCAGTGGCGGAGGCCGGCCTCACGAGGAAGGCGGCGGTCAGAGGGCAGAGAAAGTGGGATGTCGCCAGCGCCTCCATGAAGAGCTATTGCCCACCCCATATGTGCCTCTCCCTCTTTTCTGTTTCTTCAAGTGTTTTACGTCTAAAACCTACTCCCTCTGACCCACTGCCTCTAGATACTATTGGCTTCGCTCTCTTGGTTTTCTTCTTTTGGTAGTAGTTACATTTTAGACGTGAGAGACTGCACTTCAATTCTAGTTTGAACTACTAGCAAACAAAAAAGAAAGAAAGGAAGAAAGGAAGAAAGGGTGCGTCACTTTGGAGATTCCCGCTTTCTCTTGTTGCTAATTGGTCACGAGCTGAACAAAATTCCACACTTAAATGAGTAGCAGCAGAAAATAGACTTGACATTTGCGAACAGAATTTTCTTGTATTCCGCCTTCCTCATAAAGAGACAAAGTGAGCAAAGATTGTATAAAATGTGTACTTCACCCACCGATGCCATCAACAATAAGTCATTTTCATTACGTTGTTTTAACAAGAAATAGAGTAGTAGTAGTAGTATGGTAGTAAATCATTTTCATTTACATTCCTGTAACAAGAAATAGAGTAGGAGTGGCAGTAGTAGCAGTAGTAGAAAAATATTCTTCCCATAAAAATATGTGTTTAAAAGTGCTTTCAAGGTTCCAATGGTATAGGATAGGAAATCCTGGAAATTGGAACATAAGCCATAAGAGTATTTGATTGATTTGGGATCAGATTCTCTCATTTTAAACGCCAAACAAAACCTGTCCTCTCTCTCCTCTTTTCAGGAACTCCGAGTTGGCACATATGCGCAGGCGGTTGGAACGTCGAGCTTGGAGTTGGAGTTCTGCTATATATGTCGGGACCTCAACTGTCACGTGGCCCATTACCTGCATTTGAGCGTCGGTGCTAATAATGTCCTAATGATACAAAGCGAGTGTTAATAACAGGTTGGAGACCTGCATCGGCCTAATAACTTGTTTGTTCATTTTGATTTTTTCACGGGCCGAAGCTTTTTACTCTTTAGATACTCCAACCCAGCCTTTCCAAGTCTGCTCTTAATGCCAACAATTTTCCATTATCACCAATCTCTGAAACCTAATCTAGTACCAAATATCGAAGCGCCTCGAGGTGGGATTTTTTTATTTCCAGACTGCTGACAATTAAGGTAATTTGGTTACAAAGTTTTTGTATACAGATCTCGATCCATCAACAATGTTAGGATTCTTTAGGGTTCATTAGCTTGCCGCCGCCTTTAACTGAGCTTGATTAAACTATGAAAACCTAGCTCGCTGCGCCGGTCATATATTATTAATCCTATTCAATCCCAGTCCAGCTTTCATGCAAGCTTAGAAAATACAGGTTTAAGCTGGGCACGCGATCAATTTGCCAATTTCAAGCTAGACGCAGATTTCAATGCGCTTTATATATATGCATATACATATGTGCAAGCTTAGAAAATACAGGTTTCAGGTGAGCACGTGATAAATTTACCAATTTCAAGCCAGACGAAGATTTCAATGTGTATGTGTGTGTACTCGCATGTGTTCAAGCCAGACGAAGATTTCAATGTGTATGTGTGTGTACTCGCATGTGTGTGTGTGCGTGTGTATATATATATATATATATATTATTAAAAACTCAACTAAGTTTGATATTTCTAATAAGTCCGACTGAATCTTTGCACTATAATGGTAATGTTTTTAGATAATATAGTTTTATGCATAAAACTTATATTTTATAGATTCACAAGCTTTCAAATCAGAGTTCAGATTGATCAATTAAACAAACCTTATTAAACTTAGCTTTGTTTAATTAGCTAACAATTCAACATAACTGTTCAAATTTATATGTGTGTATATATATATTAAACAAAAAAAAAAAACCTAAAGCAAGCATGAATCAAACCTCTCTCGAGCAAACTGCAAGCAGTTACCACTCACCAGTAGTAACTGCCTACGAAATAGTACAAAAGCAACTAACTGATGACGTAGAAATGAACTGCAAGGTCTTGTTTGAATACGATCTTTTGGATTTCTAAATATAATTAACCCCAGATCTATGTAAGCAAGTTGAGGAAAGAAGCTTAAAACATATATTATATACATAAATATTGTCATAATCAGTGACATAGCAGATCATGATCATCTAAAACGTATGGTGTACAAAAATCAATTCTGATGATGTTGGTCAAGCCTACCTGGTAGTTTCTGGGATAGTGGGGGTTCAAGGATGAAGATCTAACAGGCCACAGGAACCAAGAAACGTAATTCAACATAAAAAATCAGCCCTCCATGATTACGTATGATGTTGAATTGTTTTTCTATCCTCAACAACTCGGTGTGGAATCAGGGTGTCCTTCAAAATATAATTTTTCTGCATCCAAAACACCCTGAACAAACAAGAATTTTTTAGTCACTATCATAAAGCAGCAGGTAGTTAATTAAATCCATGGGTTTGAAGGTAGAACCTTTATAATCATGATGGCTGCATCCTTGTTTATGAGCTCATTATACTCATGACAAGCCAGATTCTGAAATAGACAAGACCTATAAATTACTACAGTGGCAAGACAGAAAGTAAGCAACTAGGTTCTGAGAATTAACACAAACCTGAACACAATTTGGGCAACCTGAGTCTGAGGAGCAGTGGCAACAAGTTAGAAGTTCCAAAGCAGAACACAAAAGCTCTGTGAAATATGGTTGGATCTGTTACATATTCAGATGTTTCCCTATTAGAAATTGCCTAAAACTCAAAATTTATCTCCATAATAATCCAGCTGGTTATAAGCTTGCATACAAACTTTCCATTCCATCAAAAACATATAATTGCTTTATCCCATTGCTGAGCCATCATTTACTGATCTACAATAATGAAGTTTGAAATTGCCTCTAACATACAAGAGCATATATCATTAATGTGAAATTTTATAATGGCCATTCAACCTAAATATAATTCACAATAGGTGAAGAGACTCTTAATATATTTAAGTTACTAGGATACCCCAGATATGGACAACGTGGGATTTATCTTTTATCAGCACTTTAAAAATTCAAAGCTTATTCAGACTTTCAAAAATAAAACTAGTTCAATTAAAATATCACTAATTCAACAAGCCTCAAAGTCTTCAAATATAGATCCAGACCCTTTTTCAGTAGGACTGTGAAGCAAGAATTAAGAGTTACAAGTACTTACCTGTTTTGAGACACCAGTCCCTCCAGGATGCTGATCATACAATAGAATTCTCTCAGGAAAGAAGCGGGTATCATGAGGATTTGGACACTCTGGGGCCAAGTCAGATAAATTGCATCTGATATATCTATATGTCAGGGCATTACAAAAGGCGTCAGGCACAGAACCACCCATGATAATAAGATAAAAGATTAAATAGAGTACCAATGTCTAATGTTTGTTGGTAAAAAAGCCTCAAAAAGGTAAAAAGACTTTTCCGACCTCAACATGTTTACATGTAAGACTTCAATATCGAAAAGATCCTACATGTAAAATACTTACAATGGCACTACATGTAAGACTGCATGACAGGCAGCATGCAGACCTGCACAGAATGAGTACTTCTTCTCCACTACTGTTTTTATGGATTGTGGAACGCTAATCCAAACTGCCTGCATGCATGTGAATCGAGATGAATAAGACATGCTTGTAACCACATACATTATACATATGGCACATCAAGGGATAATGACTTAAAATGATTGTCAAACAACAAATGCAATAAAAAGGCCCTGAACAATGTCCATTGATGCAACTAAGCCCCTGTTCTTTCATTGTACCCAAACAAGTCCTTATCCTTTGATTTGTACTCACACAAGCCCTTAACCCTAACGGATAGTTAACAGCCATCCAACCCAATGCCAGGTGGCACTTTCTGTCCAAGTGACTTGATGACATGGCTACATAGCCCATTCCACATTAGCTGCCACATGGTCATGTCAGCTGCCAGGTGGCTATCATATGCCACATGGACAGAATGCCAATTGGCATTAAGCTTGATGATTGTTAATTTTCCATTAGAATTAAGGGTTTGTGTGCTACAAATCAAAAGATAAGGGCTTGTTTGAGTATAATAAAAGAATACGGGCTTAGTTGCATAAATAGACATAGTTCAGGGGCTTTTTTAGTACTTAAGTCAATTAAAAATGGTTAATAATGCTCCTAATAGAACCTGAGATTCATATGAATATCTAGGCAGCCAAAGATCAACCGTGTCTAAGATTTGTTTGCTTCCTTTACGAATTCGGCGGAAGCCAAACCATGTAGTTGTTACACTGCAAGTATTTGCTTGAGCTGTCGTTCTTGGGAGCTGGTCCTTTGAGACCCTGGCTGGATAGGCCTGAGGAAAAGCAGGACGAATAGCCGGTGAAGCTTTCAACATTCCAATTTCCAACAGGAGCCATGTTGAAAAGGTAATAAAGAGTGCATGCGATATCCTTAAGCAAATTATGCAGTTTCAATTCATTTCAACTGTACATCACACATGAAACACATTATGTACCTTCAATCATTAAAGATTAACTTTCATTGCTTTTTAGTCTATTTCAATGTTAGCCAAATCAGGTTATAAAGTTCTCTCCCCAATCCTACACCTGGTCATACAGCTATTTTCAAATTTCCATAACTTACTGGCAAAGAAAAGTAGGCTTTAATAGCAAATTCAGCCATCTTACAAAAGACAAGTGTAAACATATCAATAAAGTTGATAAAAAGAAAGACATGAGCTCTGAATCAGCTAATTTCCATGTAACATATATTTAATAGCCTGACTTACAATTTTACCACCAATAATATGTATGTCTGTATAATCACGAGTCTTTGTGTAATAGTCCAGAACAGCTTTTTCGCAATAAGCAATTTTTCTTGACAAATCTAAATCCTTCACCAGATAGGTCCTCCCTTGGTGCATGTAAACAGCACCTTCATATACCTGTGCCAAATGAACAATTTATAAAAGAAACCCAAAAAAGACAAAAAAAATAAAATAAAGGGAGATAGAGAAAAGAAGAAAGAAAGAGAATACAGAACATACATGTAGAGGTAATGAGCAACAACTAATAATCTATTATAAAAGAAAACCACACCAGTGTCTAACAATTAAGTTCTAAACAATAAGCAGAAGAGGGGAAAACAAAGAAGTGATACCGAAAAAATTGGAAGAGAAAAATAGACAGTGAATAGAGGAATAAAACAAAGAGTGGAAAGGCAAATCAGAGGGAAAGGGGGAGAAACAGAGAAATCTAGGGAGAGGAAGGAAATGAGGAAAAAGAGAGGGACAATCTTGACAATTTCTTTAACAACAATTCTCAATAGCTAAATTCAACATCAACATAAATTACTGAAGACTGAAAATAAAGTAAGTACACATAAACAACTTCCTACCCAAGCACCGGGTAAATAAGTCTAATTCATTGAAATAACCAAAACACCTTAAAATATATGTAAATTACAATTGACACTTAAAATATATATATAATCAATAAACTAAATATCTTAATCTTTAAATTTGTGATCTTGTCATGCATCAAGAAGTTACACCTGAAAGAAAGCCCTGCTTTCCTCAATCTCTTCTAGGGTTTCATTCAGTTGTGTATCTATGACTATGTATCTCTCTGCCTCTATTGCTCGTATGCTGATTGAACGTGAAGGCATTTTCTGAAAGAAAAAATATAAGGAAGTATTTAATCCTTAGTAAGTGAGAAGCAAATAAGCAATCAAACCTAAACAGTTAAATTGTTACCTCGTGCCCAATGTAACTCCATATTTTAGCCAAAGGATCACTTGAATGATCGGAAATTAAGTATCCTCTACTTTTAAGAGCAGTTATGGCACTGTTCAGACCAGACCCAAAATATTTCTCATCATAAAGCAAACTCAACGGGTGTTCAAGAGCTGCACAAACCAGATGCTGTTCAAGCACCTGAATGAATAGAGCATCTAAGCACAGATTTGCCAATTTGCTGGAACCTATTAGATAAAGTGATATAGGGGATATCTCCATCATAGAAAACCTAATACCTGCTGGTTTTGACTGTCAATATGACAACATTCAATTGGACTCCTGAATAATTTCTCAGGGAATTTCATAAAGTATTGATCAAGAGGTCCTTCAAATGCAACATAAACAGCAAGAGATGGCCTTTCTCTTCTGCCAGACCTACCAGCCTGTTGCCATAGGCTATGTTCAGAAGAGAAAACCCCCAATTAGAAATTATGAAAATAACACTAATATAGACAGCAGGATAAAGAATTTGCACCATACCTTGCAATACTACCAGGAAAACCTAAATGCAGAGTTACATCAATGTGTCCAACATCAATTCCCAATTCAAGTGCATTTGTTGCAGCGATACCACAAAGCTTTCCACCAAAAAATTCACTCTCTATTTTCCTCCGATCCTGCTCTACAGTCAACAAATATTAAAATATAAAAAATCATGCATTAAAAGTAGGTTTTGCACATGATTAACTCATGTTTTCAAACAAAAGGCCCAAAATGTAAACATCCAGTGCTGGCAATACTCCATTAGGCTATTAAGAATGCTAAATGAATGAAAATACCAAAATGAAACACATTTAATTGGAACAATTAATACAGGAGTGTCACTAAAAGAACAATTAAGAAAACTAGGAAAACTGTTTAAATAAATTAATAAACTTTCACCAATCTTTAAGGAACCAACAAGGACAAGACTTGAGTAGGATAATAATCTTTGCCTTTGGACAAGAAACCATGTCACACATCCAAACCAAGACTTCATAATGGAAGGTCATGTTAGACATCCATCTTTAAGAGGGTTGAAGGGGTGGAAAAATTTAGGAAACACAAAACAGAATTCACTGAGGCAAGAGGTTGTAACTTAGGCATGTCACTGACACCATAACCAAAATTTATTGACAGTAAATGACAACAAAAACAACTGACCTCAGCAACATAGCCAGCACGATAGGCACTTATGGAATTGACAAGGTGGGGAGCTGTCTCTTCAAGAATTTCACGCCTAACACAATAATAGATATTTGATATAGTTATACACTGTTTTCTTGCCTAGCATAAATGCTTGAAGAATGACTAGTACAGGCCCGCAATCATGATGTCAGACATACGTATAACATAAAACAAGCTCACAAAGTTTACGCGATCCACAAAAAGCAATACAACGAAGTCCATGCTGAACCATTTCCGCAAAAAGGTATGAAACCTCTGAAATTGGGCTGAAGAGCAAGAAAGATAAAGATAGTTATGATATGCCAAATGAATAACAACTTAGGACCCCCAAATATCATTCTTTTCAATGAAGAGGGAAGATTATTCTCATCATACCTCAAACTCTTATCTGAAGCATTTCTATCATCTATGCCATAGTCACTTTTATCCAGCTCCTGTAAGCTAACAGTGTCAGTAGGTATATCATATAAGCTGCTCAAGCAGTAGCTCAATAGAAAAGACAACAATATTTACAAAAACACCCACATTTCTCAGACATAGAGCAGGATTCCAGAGAACAAAAAGCTTTTCAGAAGAAGGACTTCCATCATTTTCAATCAGCTCTAATGTTGACAGATTTGCAAGCTCCTGAAGCATCACAAAAATTATGTTCAAATCCAAAAAAAACAATTATAAAGGTAACTGACTAGAGCAATCCAATGGAATAAATTAAAACACTTGGGAGAGCTACTATAAACCTCAAATCTAAGTACCAAAATGTGAAAATAGTTAAAATTTTAAATATCCTGAAAATTCAGGCCAGACCATGAGGCAAGCTACATACAAACAAATCCAACAATCTGGCAAAGTAACTCAACTGGCAAATAGTCACCCTTCAATTATGGTGGTTCTTTTTCTGAAAAAGCGGGAAAATAGATATCTGGGAAAGAAGTAGAGGTGGGATGGATGTCTGAAGCACCACCAGAATACAACTCATGACAGAATACACACAGTAATAGAAGCAAAAGCAAATTAAGAGATTACTCAATAGAAATCTTACCATACAGTGCTCACGAGGATTGGCAGAAGTTGCCGTGGAGAAAACAAAAGAAGGATCGCCACCATACACTAAAGAACCCACCTCACCGAGTCAAGAAAAGACAAAAGGATATGATAATAGGAATTTCCTAAATCTTACTTAGTACCATGAGAGCAAAGCCTGCGAAGTCTTCTTAGTATAAGGGCAGTATGGCATCCAAAAGCTCCCTTATAAGTATGAGCTTCATCGACCACTACAAAACTTTACAATAAGAAGATAGAAAGAACTTTGGTGATCACAACCACAAATGATGACTAGGAATATCACAAACAAAGGCCACAAATTGAATCAAACATTGACCAAAAAGAAATAACCAAAGTGAACTATTCCATAACTAGTAAAAGTAAAGATTGTGTTCTGATGAATCTGACCTAAGATTTGATAGTATTCGACTAAATTGTCTATGTAATGGAAGGATTGTCATGTGTAACATATCAGGATTTGTGATCAACTGCAAGCAAAATGACAGGGATTTCAGATAAAAGATGGCTAGATAGCCAACTGGGATGGGGAATGGGAAAAACTATACATTTGTTACAGCCAACACTTTCAATAAAATACCAGTCTAGCATTGTCTCGAAGCCATGTCCTTTCTTTCTGAGAAGTGTCACCATCATATACGCCAATATTTATGCTACAATCAAATCCATTTATTATAGCTAGCAAAGCTCTTAGTTGATCTTGAGCTAAGGCCTGCATCAGAGAACAATTTGTCTAATAGAGATACTGCTCATGCACAATGAACATAAAATCAAAATGCCTAACTGCAACAAACCTTTGTGGGAAACAAGTAAAGCGCACATGATGACAAATCATGGGACAATGCCTCCAACACTGGTAGATTATAGCACACAGATTTCCCACTAGATGTCATTGTTGCTACAACAACATTCTTCCCAGAAAGGGAAGCCATTATTGACTCTGCCTGTACAGACAATGAGGGTTCAAACACATGCAAGATCTATTGCCTTTAAAAAGATAGACATAGAGGAAAGCATCCATACCTGGTGGCTGTACAATTTATTAATGCCAATACTTTGAAGGGCAGATTTTGTATTGTCCGAGAGTTCTCTAGGGATCTCCACATAGGAAGCTTTCCTAGCACCAATATTTTCGACATGAACCATCTGCATCAGTCATACATCAAGAGTTAAGTGTTAGGAAAATTATTTCAAATAAGATATGCTAAAATGCTAGCATGTTAGGGCATTAGGTAGTGATGGCATAAGACATATGCATGATTCCACAGGAGTTTCTGAGAAAATAAATCCAGTATGTTTTTACAGCAGCTTTCCAACTAGTTCCTATGAAATTCAATAGGAGTAAATTTTCTTTCCTCGAACCCAAACTAAGTGTAGAAAAAACCTGTCTATCCAATCCAATGCTCTTCCTGAGATGCTCGACCATTTCTGCTGGTAGCAATTGGCTTGTATCCTGCTAAGTCACTAAGGTGTTACAATGATATAGGCCCCTTTGACTTCAAAAGCTGTCTTATAACATTAATAACAAAAAGGTTAAGGAAAGAGCCCACATAGTGAATTCTAAATGTGGCCTTCTTTCTTAGCAGAAAAGATTTCAAAATCCCTAACAAATAATAACCTCTTATGCTTATATAACATAGAGCTAAAGAAACTATGATAGTCAAACAGCATGAATAGAGAAATTATCATATGTAATTTAAGTATTTGACATACCATTTAACTCCAATATGGCATAGAATACTATTCCAATAAGTTTAAGGGGAAAATATCTAAAGTCTCTTTTTTATTTTTCCTTCTTTTCCTGTATTTATCTTATGCACAGATAAGATTATATCTTCAAAAAGCACCTTAACCATTTACTAAGAGAGAATATACACATACATGACATCGTCTTTTGACTGAATGAGACTTTGAAGCAGAGGACCAGCTTCTCCTCGCCCGTTTTGTTTCATTTCTTTCTGAAACCTTATCACCTTCCTTCCAAAATATGAGCAAATCCTCTAAGGAAAATGATGTCAGATTCTCATATTTCTGTTTAGACTGCACAAAAGAAAATATAATTATTCAGCAATTCATAATAGGAAAAAGAGTTAAATGCCTACAACTGGTAGCATGCCATAAGGTAAAACAAACATTATGCAGGGGTGGTCAAGAAAATGAATTTAGGCCAACCAATTACATGAAACTTCTTCAAGACTATCCCCAAGAAAAATAATGATATTTTCCCATTGAATATGTAAAATGAAAATTGTAGAACTTGTTCCAGTATACCAGTTATGATCTTGAAGCACATAATTTTTGCAAATGATTCATAACTTTTCAATAATAAAATCCAGTGGTTGAAAAAATAGCATATACACATATTAAAGCTTCCCTTGGCCCAAAATAGAAAATCCTGTCATTCATATTATCTGTTATTTGGGAGCAGCTGACAAAAATCTGAGCCTGGATGGATCAAACTCAGCTCTTGGTTTTGGGTTAAGTTGTGAGTTATGATAGGAACAGAAGATAATTTGGAAACGTTTGACAATTAATAGAAACAACAACACTGACTGCCCACAGAAAGTGAGGAGATGGCAAAAGAGCTCATGAAATCACTCCAATATACAAGTCCTTGTAGAGTTCAAACATCCTAAGAATCAATAGAATCTTGATGTAAAAAAATGTATGCATGCTATGGAGTAACAATGCAGGATTGGAAGCAGGAAATACTACCATTAACAACTTGATAGTCTCCCACAAGCTAGTTTTGAATGACCTTTCCCATTTCTTCATTATGCTAAAGATCTTTGAAAGAGACAAGCAACTTTTACCTGTGAACAGGAAAGTTGAACCAGTTCAAAAAATTATACTTGCTTGGAAGCTTATCTAAAATTAACTTAAAAAAACGGAAGGAAATGTATATATCTTCAATAATACCAGCTCCGAGTTTGTTGTCAACTTTGTCTCCCTCCTTTGTTGAAGTTAGGGTGATCACAAGTGCATCACCAAAATTTTTAGGCTCCATATCATTATTTACAAAACATACCACCTGAGTAGGCACAATCAAACACTTCACTCAAGCAGACGAAACAGAGAATCTACAAGAGCACTAATTGACAGGTGAAAAACTAAAACTGCTTTTAGAACATTGTCCTAGAAAGTTAAGGGACAACAGCTGAATCAAAGGAATTCAATATGATGAAGAAACACTATAATTTGCAGCAATCTAACCATCTAGAGAAACCTAAGTAGAAAGGACTTGTGATATAAAAGCACATATGATGAATATTGCAGTATGCGTTATATCACAAGTCACTAACACCCAATGCTCAGAGATAGGCTTATTATCAGCTGGAAACTTAAGCAGGAGGTGTTTATTAGTATCATAGAAAGTAACGAACCTTGGGACAAAGAACAGAAAGACACTCTATGTCCTCCATACAAACGCCAAGCCCAAATTTCTTTAAATGCTCCAGCACTTCCTTCAAACAAGCTGAAGTCATTCTCTCCGTTCGCAGCTGAAGAAAAGCAGACAAAATGCTTAAGAAAGCAAACGCCTCCACAATTTTCTTCAACCACACAGGACACAAACACGAAGCCTGTTCATCACGACTCCGAAGTTTGGCCTCACTTAACAACATACATTTCCCTGAATAAGGACTTGACAAACAATTTACCGACTGCAAAACCTCAACAAACTTCTCACAATTCTTTTCCTCAAACAAATCCCCATCAGAAGTCCGCAATACATTCCATAAAAAGTCATAAGCACGCCCCTCTTTTTTCTCATCCCTGTCAATTGTCACTCCTTGTCTTCGTTTACTCTTAAAATAAACATTATTATTATTACTAGTATCTTCACTAAAATTTCCTGATTCGTCCCGTAAAGATGAGAATTCTTGCATCATATCAGAGTAAGTAGAATCTGCAAAGCTTGTGGCAGTGCTTGCATTGTTGGAAAAACAAGGGTTTTCAATTCGAGGCTTGTCTTTCTTTGTAAATGGAATCAAAACAAAGAATTCACCGGACCGAATCGAGAGACTGCTCACTTTGCTTTGCAAGTTCAATTTAGTACCCTGAAACAAAACAATTTGGGGGAAAAACATTAAATTAATGTGTTGTGAGAATAAGAAATGTTTGAAATGTTCAATTTTGTTGCTTTTTACCTTGAAAAAGAGGTGGAAATTGGGAGAAGAAGAGGCCGGAGGAAAAGAGAGTTTCAATAGAAGCTTGAGATCGTTAATTGTTTTTTCTGGCGATGTGGTTATGACGGTGGATTCATCGCTCAGTGTTCGGACTAGGATTTCCATCATTAGTTTCTATTTCTTTCTCTCAAGCTTCCAATTTTCATCATCTGGAACAGTTGGGAAAGTCAAGGGGTTATGTTTTTCGGGACTCGCGACAATTTTACATATATATATATGGCGGCGGCGGGGGCTTTGGCGGGGATTCTGTTTTATTTTGACAAATTTGGAATTTAGTCCCTCCACTATAAGAAAATGCTGGATTTAACCCATGTATTATAATTTTATATAACTTAAGTTCTTCTACTTTGAAAATTTGTTACTGTCAACTCAATTGCTAACACCGTTACAATTTTAACATTAATCAGGCTAATGTGCTGCTCAGTGAAACTTTTCACCCTTTTTATGCTACATATCTAAACCTAAATTCAAAACTCAAACCTTCATTTGCTTCTCTTCTTTCTTGTTTCCTCTCTTTTCTTATAGAATAAGGATTAAATTCAGAATTTGACCTTAAATATTTTTATTTTTTTTTTCTTTTCGTGGCTTGCAATAACAAAAGACCAAGAGTGTCATTAGGTAAAATTCAGTTGATATGGTGCGACACTGAATTTCAAATATCCAAAGCTATGGTCTTCAAATATAATTCCCGTAATTCTTTTTTTAAAAAAAAAAATCTACTAATTGTTTATAAGATTTAATAAAATGTATATATGTAACATCATTTTCTTTATTTTTATTACAATTTTGTAATAAGTGATCCTTAAAATACATTTAGTTTGATTAGATTATAATTGATTGATTAAAAAATGTGTAATTTTATATTACGTTTAAATATTTAATTCATTAATTGATATATTATCCTCTTACTTAAAAAATAAAATTTGAATCTTTTCTCTCAATTATAAAAAAAATACATATATATAAATTCTTAAAAATGTTTCAAAAATAAATATAGATATCTAATTTTGTTTGAAATCATTTAATGTGAATTAATTTTAAAATTTTTATTTAAACAGTGAGAGAGAAGAAAGAAACCAAAATTATTTAAATTGAAATAAATAATTTAAAAAATATTATTATCAAGTCATATAAAAAATATTTAAAAAAATTAAAATTATAATAAAAATAATTTTTGAAGTGAGCTTCACAATTTCCTCTTTACACTCTCATTTGGCGGGTCAGTCCCCATAAATGACAACCATACCCGAAGAAGCCTCCACGGCTGGAGCCTGGACAGGCGGACTGATGGTGACACTGGTGGTGGCAACCAGCGCGGACCCGGCCTCAATCGGGCCAGCCTCTTCTCTGTTAGCCATGCCCGGCTGGCACCCTGGCCCCTCCCTCCAGGTTCAATCAACCCCCCTCTATTTCCATTCTCTTCTCTGAATATTCACAGACAAGAAAAACTACCCAATCTATGCCCTAATCTTGCATTTGTTGTCTAATATCGAATTTAGGATGCAGCGAGTTATATCAACAAGGAAGTAAGGCTAATAAAACTCGACAAACGACTTGTCGTGGAGAACCATTTGGACAAGCGTTGGGAGGAAGCCACCGGCGAGACTGTTGACGACGTCGTCTTTCTCAGCAAGCATGTCGCTTCCTCTAATAGACCTGCCCTTACCATTCACCCCATCGGTATTCAATTTTTTTTTTATTGCTACAACTTCTGTTTCTACGTTGTTATTAGTAGTATATTTTTTCCCTAAACTTGTATACTGTTTTAGGCACGCCGCACGTGCGTGAGGGTGAGGCTTTGTCTGCCGGCGGAAAGCCAGGATGGGCTGCACCACCGAACCCACGGATAGGCCGTGGTTTAGACTCTTGAAAAACATTGCTCATTCACATAATTTAATTCCTGAATTTGAGGTAATCCAGTGCAAGAACTTGTAAAAGTTTATATTAATTGATGTATTGTTAAGTGAACAATTCTATACACTGTTATAGTAAATTATAGCTCGCCTTCTAGTCCAAGATTTTTTTCAAATCTTTATTACTAGTAACTTGTGGTTTATTGATAATATAAAAACTTGTGGTTTATTGATGATATAAAAGTTATACACTTACAGTCTATTTGTGATCTATATTTTTTGACTTGTGAATTACTTGGAATATTATTGCAGATATTATGAATATGTATAGATAAATAGGTTAAATTGTTTCTTTTATGTTGTTTTTAGTATATTTTATCATAATGTAGGTCACATTGGAGGCTACTCATCATGGTCCTGAAATCAATTCACCGACTATGTTTGTGGAAATTGGTAAAATCTTAATCACTGCTTGTGTTACTTTCAATGATTCTATGATTTTTCTGTTTTTAATTGTTATTGCTGTTGCTCTTTTTTCACTCGGTTTTGAAACTTGCATTTCTGTTTTTTATTAGGTAGTACAGAAGAATATTGGAAGAGACAGGATGCTGCACAAGCCGTTGCTTTAGTGGGTATCTATTTGTGAGCATAGTCAAATTACCTTACATTAATTTATGCCTGATTATATAAAGAAAATCTAATTTGATTGAGATTTTGTAAAGACAACCTGTTTGAAACATAATTGTTTAAAATCCCAATAATTCTCTCTATTTAATCAAATTGACTTCAATCAAGCATTAGCAAATGTAATGCAACCGTTTTATAAAAGCCAAATAGTTGATTGAATTCTCTGTACAAACTAAATGCTGCCTTTCTCACTACTTAAGTCTGCATATTTACCATACTTATCATATCTCTTCAATATGATCATGAGGGCACTTGTGCACCCTCATCAGCATGAACTGCATGAGCATGTATTGTATACATAATTGAGGTTACCAGAAGGAACTTCATTTGACTATATCCAGCATGTCAGCAGTCACCCTTGTTTGTCTTCTGATCATCTCATGCATTTAACTTTGAAAACTAACCTTCTTCTTTTCCTATAGCATGTACTTCTTTTCCTTTCACTGTCTTTGAACTAGTGTCAATTTGGAATGCTAATGTACATGTGATGGTGACATCAAGTAATTAAAGATGTTTGTTCATTTTCCGAATGAATTTGAACAATATGGTATTTGAAGTTAGTGTGGGAAGGACTGGGTCTTGGAGGAAGAACTGCAGTTGGAGACTGGAGCAGGTATGGTCTTGCCAACCATTTACCTGCTTTGTTGTGAGGAGCTGCCCGATTCGAATAATAATAGGGGACATTTTCTTTTTGAAAAATAACCTCAGCTCATCAATTTATTATGGCTCTCTCTCTCTCTCTCTCTGCTGCTTAGTCATTAAATAAATGAAACGCAAGGAAATCTAACCCCAGTTAATGGCTTTTCTAAAATCATCATCATTTTGTGTGTTTCGTGATTGATTTGCTTTGGAAGATTTCATGACATTGACATCATTGTATGAAATCTTCTTTCTATTTTGTGCTGTCTATATTTTAGTTTATAAATAATGAGAGAACTTCGTATTGTAGATAAAAACTATGGGAGCAATCCTTGGTAAAACAATGACATTGAAGTCAGACTGACATATGGGATTGAAATTAAAAGGACATAGTGGAAGAAGTCAAAGAAATAGATGGAAAAAAACCTTTTGCTTTTTCATTCTACCTAAACTTTTACAGCAGTTTGATCTCAATAAAATATTATAATAGTTTCTGAAACTCACTTACTTTTGCCCCTGTTCATTAAAGAATATAATGATGCAGGGACAATGATGGAAACAAAATCCTTCTTGGCATAGGTGGTGGTCATTATGTACCCAGGCATATGGATGTTGTGCAGTAAGTTACAACACAAGCTTCTGGGACCCTCTATGCTAGATTTAATTTTCATTTTGTTACGCATTGAGAAATTGGATTCCTAAAGTACTGTTTATGATTTTGACAAGTAGCACTTGGTATAAAAATTCTGATATAAGCCCAATTTTGAACCTGTTTGGATTTTTTGACATAAAACCTATATGCCAAACTTTGCGCTCTTAATTATTCTCATAAAATTTTTAGGAAAGATGGCGTTTGGGCAGGACATCTGCTGCCTGGCTATTCTCTGTTGATGGAAGATCCTGGAGAAGCGAAAGTACCAATGAATTCAGTGGGTGTTGGTGGAACATGGAGAGAAACAATCAAAGTTGCATTCAAGACCACCAAATTGGCTTTTCCTGGAGAAGAAGTTCTAGCCCATCTTGATCACAAGTTAGTCACTGGTGTTATAGAATTTTTTGTTTGAACTTAATATGATATACACTGTTAATAGAATCTACCTTAAATTTCTAACAGAAAAGAGAGGTGAAAAAACAAGGCTACCTCACTATCATATCCATGTTTCAAAGAAACGTACATCTGGACTCATAGCAAGAGTTCGTAAATTTATCATAATTTCTGGCTTATTGTCACAGAAGATTTTCTCAATCAAACTGTGCACTGATGCTTTTGATCATTGAGAACTTACTACTTATGGAGTAACTCTTGGGGCAAACGTCACCCTAATGACTGAAGTATAAATTGTGCTAATGTATGTTTATGCATTAAGTCGTACTCTTGCCAGGGTATAAAGGACAAGTTCTCTGATGGGATCAGCGTGTGAAATATTCAGTTTAAGCTGGTTCTTCAAAACAATTGTGATCTTCAATTTGCAGTAAGATATGGAAAAAGGATATTTAATTCGGTTTAGCAAAGTAAAGATTTCAGGGTCATTCAAGAACATCACTTGTTTGATATTAGGAATTTTGTTTCTTATTTTGAACATGCATGTGGGGATATTTTATGTTGTCGCCACCTATAACCACCATGTAAGCCACGAGCCAAGCTCCAGTCATACCAATCAAAGGTAAAGTGTATGAGCACGTTCGTTTGATTCAACAGATGCTGAGTTGTTTAGGGGAAGATGGTTTCACATTGATTTTATATCATCTCTGGACTCTAGTTTTCGAGTCCAAAAGAGGAGGAAAGAAAAAACTAATACTGCTACTTTTTAGTGATATCAGGAGTTTCAAGAGTTGGCAGAGAAATGCCGTTAAAGGGTTCTTTGCAGAGCAGAACATAAAGATTGGCAAACCCGGCGACTTCTGTCCCTTTTAAATGCGGCCTATGGTTGACCGTTGTAAAAATAGGTTTTTCCTGTCAAAGCACTTAAAAATTACAGCCTAGGGCAATATAAAAGTCTTTGAATTAACAGTGGATTTAGAGTTAATTCTATTTTTCGACTGTACAGAGTGCTTTGTCAAACTACGATGCAATTGTTTTCTTTTATGAAAGTGACATAAGTCGATATATTATTGGCCTAAATGCTCACATCTTGAGGGGCTTCGCAGGTTAAAATCCAATACCTTTTTGGCAAAATGGGAATTTTGGGGTGGACGATGTGTTTGTTAAGATGTTTCAACTGTAAAGATTTCTTCTCCTACCGAAACACTAGTCTAAGCCCGTAAAAATAGACTTTTCAGCAAACGTGATTCTTGGTTTTGTTCTAGATTTGTCCTTGTCTACCGTGGCTTTTTCGGTTTGAAATCACGAAGAAAAATGGATGCAAAGGAGGTTTCCTCCCAAGAAACTCTCTACCTGCTCCAAAGCCCAGGGGTCTAATCTTCATTGGCTTTTTGGCAAGTAGCAGAAAGAATATTGAATTAGGCATCCTAAACGTGTCTGACAGCTTTTTCCATTCTACTTTGAAAATCAGGGCAAAGCTTCAGTCAACTAGGTAGGCCACTCCATTTTATAAGGCATCTTCCTTCTCCCTAGAGTTGCACGAGTAAGGCATTTATCTTGGGTGGTAAGCATGGCCTATGCAAGCAAATTTTTGCTTCTCATAGCGTTGGTTGCAGCTGTTTACAACACAGATGCCGTGAAGCAGAAGGTGACTCGCTTCCAATTCTACATGCATGATATCGTTGGAGGCCCAGAGCCAACCGCTGTCAGGGTCGCTGGCCGCTCCAACTTCACCGGTCAAGACCCGATCGCAGCCACGTTTGGGTCCATTTTCATGATGGACAACCCTCTGACGGTCACCCCAAACATAAACTCAACACTAGTTGGGCGCGCTCAGGGGATGTATGCTATGTCATCACAACAAAAGGAGTTCAGCCTTCTTATGACCCTTACTTACGCCTTTACTAGCGGACCTTATAACGGTAGCACCTTCAGCGTCCTCGGCCGCAATCCAGTAATGAATGAAGTAAGAGAAATGCCGGTGGTTGGAGGCACCGGAAAGTTTAGGCTGGCTCGTGGATATTGCCTTGCCAGGTCCTACTCAATGAAAGAAATGGATGCAGTGATCGGATATAATGTGACATTGCTACACTAGTAGCCACGTGAATATGATTGTAAGAGTAGAGTATTGGAATTTTGGATGGGAGATTTTCAGTCCAAATCTTTGTAACAGTTTCTTTTATTATTTGTTAAAATAAAGGGAATAGTAAAAAGTTGAAATATTTGTTAGCCATAATTAAGACAGGTTGCCAACTATACTATTACCTCCACAAATTTCTCTCCTTTTTTACCATAACCGACCCTTCTAGTCATCATCATGCCCTCGCACTGTAACTCCCTTATTCATTCCATGCATTTCTCTAATTTTCAAATTCAAATGGTCATTTCCCTCTTCCAATTCCACCTCTATCTCTCCCCCTCTCAAACTACTGTTACAGAAGCATAGGAAAGACAGCAAGGAAGATAAAAAGGACAAAAAGAATGTCCACACCATGGACGCTGACAAGGTTTGTTAGATGGAGAGTAAGGGATTGGGCTTCATGTTTCTTGGCTTGCCGGTTCCCTTTAGGTAAAACACACGACAAAAACCTGGTTAGCTTTTAATCCATTTTTCCTTTTCAAAACTCGCGAAAGTTTTTATATACCATTTTCAGGAGGCTTGAAGCTATTGTAGTAAACCTTACCATATAAAATTTTTCTATAGAATGATAAGACATGCATCACAATCTTGCACGATGGTATACTTGGAATCTTGGTGACCATCAAAGTTTATTAACATTGCCCAATTTTCTTGTCCCATTATCTGTGTTGATTTTATATATATATTATATATATATATATATAATATGTGTGTGTATTAAATTTGCAGAAGAAGAAACAGAGACACATCGCTCTTCATCGCCTCAACTGCCAATCAGAAACATGGTTTTCGAAACCAAGGAACACACCGGAGATAAGAAGAGTAACAAAAGACTGTCACGGCAAAACAGATGCACCAAGGATAGACAGCTAAACCTGAGTCCAGCAGTGCCTAGGAATACTGCTTCAGTAGAAAATGGGAGTGACAACTCAAGCTGGGCACGTTTTTCTGATGAAGAATATATAGTCTTCTGCTTTAGAGAAGATGGAGCCTTTGATATTGTGAAGGATAGCAAATCAGAAGATTCCAATCACTCCAGTAGAAGTTCATGGCCTGTTAATCGAAAGGTTTAACCATGCGATTGTAATTTTTTTTCTTTCTTTCTTTTGGCTGGCTTTTCCCCTTGTTCAACATGACCAAATTACAATTTGGGTTAATGTTTCCTTTGTCTGCTTTTTGGTTGGGAACAGCTTAATTATGCTGAGGAAGCAGAAAGAGATAAGCAAAGCAGCGATGAGGGAAGATCAAATGAAGATGGAAATGAGGAAGAGATCATTCCTGCTATAGAGGTGAGGCTGTGTAGCTATATTCTGAGTGGACATACGAGTTTTTACACCAAAATACAATGTTGGAATCTAAGTTCTCATGTTTTCTCTGTTGAATATCCGTTTGCAATTATTGTGACTTATCTGCAAATTAAAATCTTGGAGACGTACAAATTAATGAAACAGTGACACAACATAGAACAGTAACTTGTGAAAAATAACATGCTAATATATACTTAGTAGAAAGGCAAGGCCATATCCTCTATTGCGTAGCAGTTGAGAGTGTTGTCCTTGGAGGAATTTTCAAAGGTGGCATTTCGCTTACTATTTAGGGTGACGGAGAAGGGAGCAGCATCTGCTTGGAGGTAGAGTTAGCTTCAGGTGGCATAAGGAGAAGACATTACCAGGTAGAGGAGACACCTAACCGCGGGATGGTTTCTGTTGAATCAAGTGACTCTAACCAATCTGATGGCAGCACGGGATCATTTGCCTTTCCTGTGTAAGTTGAGGAGAAGTTCGATTCATTGATTGTAAGTTCAATAACTTTCTGGTCCTCGAAGCTTATGGTTTGATCTTTGATGAATGCTGCTGTTGCAGGCTGGGATGGGAGTGGATGGGAAGTCCAGTGCAAATGCCGAAATCTGATGGCAGGAACCCAAGGAAGAACAAGGCCCTCTCAGTGCGTTTTCAATGTTTCAGATTCTGATTGTCCTTGTGTCTTGTCTCAATCTATGAAGATAGTAGCCATGTTTATCATTCTTTTAATAATAACTACATCTGATCTAGCGTTATAACACCCTTCCTCTCCCTCCCCCTTCCCGCTGGTTTTGCTCCAACAAGTAATTCTCTCGTGTCTACGTCCTTCCGCCATCTTGGTGTTTCCTTTTGCATACTATTTTTTATTACGCAATGAGAAGTAACCTGAAACAAACTTATAAAATCAAGACTCGAATTCTAAGGGCTAGGACACAGAATTGGTGTTTTTCACTCAATTAGATGCCTATTTGAACAGGCCTTTTGGTCTACTTGAGCCGGTTCCTTGTAAGACCTGGGTTCAAAATAAAGAAATTGATGTTCTTTCCTTGCTACTTTTCATCCGGGTTAACAAAAATTGGTGGGGGTGGCTTGACAACTTTCGATTGAGGCACTTGAAAATCAAAATGAACATCCCAAGTTCTGATCCTCCTCCCAAGTGCAAACAAAACCTTTCTGCAAGTAGACGGGTGAGAGAAATATGAAGATTTAAGTTATGCCAGAAGTTGCACCTACTGCAGCCAAATGGAGAGGCAGCCATAGTAATTAGGGAAGTTTCTTTGCCGGCCTTTTAATGAGAGCAATAATAAGTGTTCAATACGTACTGTAGCCAAACATCAAACGAGAGAGTATATTCCAGTTTTAAATATAAAACAAGTGCAAAAATTGGATGCCAAACAATTGAAAATAAAAAGCCATATAAACATACAAGAATGGCATGCAATAAGTAAGGAAAAGGATACAGAAGCAGCCATCAAAAAAAAAAAAAAGGGAAGTGAAGGGGTAGATGAGTTACAGTAAATAAATGCTACAGCGTGAAACTGATAATACCAATACATCAATGAGCTCGTGTGAAATGCTTCAAGCTTATGAACTGATTATATTGCTTTCTTCCAAACATTCTGATCTGAAAAGAAATGATTGAAGATATAACCTTGCACTGGCTGCAGCAGCAAGGGATTCTTCATCTTGCTTCTCTTTGGCAGCAGCAAGAGCAGTAACATAAGCTTGCCTTGCTTCTTCCATTTTCTGTATCTCATTGTCATCTGCATCATCCTGCTTTACACCAAAGTGGATGTTTCATGATTAAACATGGCAAACAATGGTTCCACAAAGCAATGATCTTTGTTAAAACAAATCAACAATAGCCTAAATACAAATACTTTTACTTTCAACTCTGTCTTATGGCAAATCCAAACGAATGAAGAGCCATGAATAGAAACAGAAAAGGTTATGCGACACAAGCCCTTATAAATGATATTGGCAATTAATGCAAGACAACATATATTTGGACTTCTATTCCCTTCTACCATATAAACCATTTGATCTTTTTGAACAGTGCAATAGGAAAAGTCATATTAAAACAATTTGATAATAGGCAGAGGATAGAGAGCTTACTATATAAGGGAGATGATCCAAATGGTACGAAGCTACATCATAATCTTCAGCATGTTTAGTGGAGGTATTCTTTGTCAAACCATTTAATAACAGCATAAATGATGAAAATTCTCCTTGCATCGAGTCTATATCATTTTGCAGCTTCTCCACCTTCTGCTTAGATGTCATTGCTTCCCACTGTGTCTTCTCCAAGGCAGCCTGCTTGTCTGCAAGCTTAATCTGGGGAAAAGCATATTTATCAATAATGATCTGGGATAATTTCACAACTAACAATTGAACAAAAAAAAATTCACAATCAATACATTATATATACACATCTCTATTCAGCAGTCAAATACCTTAAAGATAAACAGAAATCACAAAATGGAAAATAAGAACCAGGTATGTTGCAACCTTATATAATGGATGATACTCATATATTTAAATCACACACTAAACATTTTTAATGATACTCGTATTTTAACAACCTTTCAACAGACAATAATTACAAAATCATTCAAATTCTTCCAGCAATACAGTTAATGCTTGTAGTTGTAACAGCCTTTTCTATGTCTATTATGCAAGAATATCCGTCCTAACTTTCTCTTAAAAAAATTGTAAATCTTACAACAAAATAATGTCAATCAAATAAGCTCCAAGTTTATATTCAAAAAAGAAAAAAGTTTTTGCTGCCTCCATCAAAGTTTCAAAGATAAATACTGAGAAGGTAATTACAATGCACTAACTATTTGTACATGAAATGCATAAAAAAAAAAAAAGTCTAGAAGAAATACATAACAATTGTATACCTTGGCATCAGAAAGTTGTAGCTGAATAGACTTGACCAAAGAGTCCTTTTCTGCAGCATGTCGCTTCAATTTATCAAGTTCTGCCTGAATATCATTAAACTGATTCCTTGAAATCTCTGCTGATTTGAGAAGCTCATCTTTTTCCAGTAACTTTCTTTGCATATCCTCCAGTTGTTCCCTCAAAGCAACTAACTCCTCATCTTCTTTTTCTGCTGCCAAAGCCCTCGAGGAAAAGATTGAAAAGCTGTCACCATCTTGGTTATTACTACCATTCCTGTCTCCTTGGTCCTTCTTCTTTCTCACTGGAATGGACTCAGCTGCATTCCTCCCTTTCATATCAGTAGCCTTCTTGAATGAAATGAACAGAGTTATAGCCCATTCATAAAGAGAACATAAACATCATCTCACAGAAGAAAAGTTATCAAATTAAAATATAGGAACATGAGCAAAATTTTGATAGTAAAAAACAATTTCATATTAAAATTAATGAAATATTGTAATTGAAACCTATCAAACACTGGATATTTCATAAACCTGATTAAAACCTATTTGTGATGCAGTTTTCTGTCGTTTTCTTTTTCATCCCTCATAGGAACTAGCTTTACGTCTTTGCTCTGAATGATCAGAAATATCTAATGCAGAGCCAACTATGCCTACCATAGTGGGATTAAAACTTCAATTGGCAAGGTGGCATGCTAAATACAAGAACAACAATTGCAAATCAAACAGAAAGGAAACAACAATTTGATCCGAGTAGCCAATATGTCACCAATGACTAGTCAATATAGACTAGTAACAAGTTATCAACTAGACAACTGAAAATGGTAGCCGAGCAGGTCTAATGAGGCATTATAGTATATTACGAAAAGACACCACTTTCAGTTGCTTATACCTAATAAAGGTATAGCAGAGTGTGTACAAATTTTTCCAGCAGGTACTACGATCTAGAAAGGAGATATGACACACCATTTTTTCATCGTAAAAATATAAAAGCACATAATACAATAATATAATCATAATTTCCACTTAAATATGTATAACATATAAAAGATTTATATTTGATTCACTCTGTGATATATAATTACATACACAATCAGAATATAACAACAACTCGCGACATTAACAGGAGAATTTTTAAAAACCTTACTTATAAATGCAAGTTTTGATGAGGTGACAAGCTCTAACTCACTCTAACAGTATAAGGATGCTATTTGGTAATGCAAGCAATACATAATTCTACAATTTTTTCAATTAAATACAACATATAAATTGAAACAAGTATAAAAGAATGTTACTTTCCGGGTCAGGTATTCCCTTGAAGGCGTCTTAGTATATATCATCGAACCACGCCTTGTAAATGAACTGTTTGCCTTCCGCTCCTGATCGAATACAAATTTACAAAAGAAATAAGAAAGTTAAATTTAAAAAGAAATCCTTTTTCTTCCATTTTTTTAAATGGCGCGAGGTAAATAGAATAATTTCGCATACCATTTTCTTTTCATTTTCTCTCTATTCTTCTTTAATTTAAAAAATAAATAAATCAAATATAACGAAGAGGTAAATTAAGTAAAGAGAGAGGGAGATTACGATGAGGGATTGAACGAGAGGGATCATCTCGACGAGATCGTTGTAGAGGACGCGATCCACATTGCCGTTAGAGGGGGCCGAGTTAGTGAGTGAGGACTGAGTTTGATGGTGAGTCGGGGACGAGTTGTCGTTGATGTTGTTATCCCCTGAAAGCCAGGATTTGGGGTCCCCGAAGCCAGAATTGTCCTGCAAATCTACGAAATGTTGCGGCTCAAACATTTTCTTTCTAAAAAAGAAAACGACGAAGAATCGGAAAAACACAAAGAGAAAAGAAGTGGTATTTTGAAACTTGAAAGAGTGAAGAGAAGAGAGAGTTAACGATTTGATGTTTTTTTTTTTTTTAATTTTAAATCGCTTTCGTTCGTGCCCTTTTACGGACAACGGCTCTCCAAACGTACTTTGGAAGGTAATTTCCAAGATTACCAAAATACCCCTGAACCACCATGAAAATAACTGAATAGTAAGGGCCGGTTGATGAATTAAAATGGCAAAAGAAAAAAAAAGTGGTTTCTTTTCTTTACTTTTTTTTTTTAATAAAAAAATTTCCTTTTACATTTTGTGATTATGGCCGCTGTATTTTTTTAAAAAAATTCAAGAAATTAATTTTTTTTAAAAGAAATTAAGCTATGCCTACACTAATATGCAAAAACAAAGTTAGTGGACATCAACTAATTTGCAAGATTATAACAAAAAGTTCATATAAAAATAAGAATATGTCAAACATTTTGTTTCTCCATGAGACTACAAGTTAGGATTCGATATGATTTAATTATTTTAATTGTTTTTTTCTCTCATAAAGTGAATGTCACAAAACTATAATATAAATCACCAATCACCTTCACTAACCACCTAAATAGTGTGATTAATTAATTTAGCATGCATAAAGGGGAGAATGCCACAAAATTTAAATTAATCAAGTAAATTTTGTTTCCTAATGAGTTTTGTTTTTTGTTTTTACTAATGCTCTAAAATGAGCTTCAATCCTTATGCCTTAACCATTGAAACAAAGACACAAAATGAATGAAATTGCAAGTGATGGGTCGCTTTGGTCATGTTCTAAAATGCAAAAAGAAAATTTACACGAAAGAATTAAATTAAAACTATCATTATGTTGTTAGATTAAATTGATCATCATTGCATTTATTAGGACTACTGTCTTTTTGTTGTCAACAAAAATGAATGTCCTTTTGCTTTTTACACAGAAAAACAAAATTGAGGGCTCAGGGCTGTTGATTCATTAGGCTAATACATGTCTGTCCAAAGCAGTCCAACTGAATTCAAATGGACTACTAATGGACCCAAACCCAGTCTCTATCGTCTCGATATATACCCAAGCCCAAGCTCATTGAACCCTTTAGCCTCACTTCACTTCCGTAAACCAAAAGCAAACAAAACAAAATTAGAAAGAATAAATAAATAAATAAATGTCTCGCTATTAGTCTATCTCCCATTGAGCTTTGTACTAGAATTGTACTTGGATGAAATCAGATATATTTCATTCCTTCCACCTCGTGAGTAACATATAGAGTATTAATAGATATATGAGTAAATATAATATAACATGATTAATTAATTATGTTAAAATTTTAAATATGTATATAAATATATTTAATAAATGTATAATATGATATTATACGATTAATATATTTATTAAACATATTTGATTAACTTTTATACAAAACAACACGATTAATATGATTATAAGTTATGAGATTTATAACCTATTTACATAATTAATATGATTACTATAATTAAAACGATTAAGTCAAAATATATACAAGTAAAATATAATTTTATTATTCAAATATATAATTAAAAATAATAAATATCATAAAATTGATCAAATATAATAAAATTCAATATCAATAAATCTAAATTATTATAAAAATATTAATATTTATATAGATCAATAAATAAGCCTTAACCGTGTACTAAACATATCTAAACAACATGTGAACACGATTAACTAAATAGATAATAAACGGATTACAGGTTATAAGGAAATATGATGACACAATTAACTAATAGCGTTTTAAACAGATTAAGCGGGTTTGAAATGATTAAAACACTATTTATTTGTATTTTAACTGTATTAATACAATTATAAATCTGTATCATTTCGTATTATATACAAAATTATCAAATCTAGTAGAACATGGTCAAAATATAAATAGTAAAAATAAAAATGCAAAAGACAAGTACTTTCTAGCTTGAGTGCTTGACCTTGTGACCTCTATTCACATGCGAACTTATAACTAATGGTGAAATATAATCTAACAAAAGATAAAGGCCAAGAGGGTTCAAACTCCAAATTATTAATTATGGCATTCAATTGATTAGTAAAAAGTCTTAAACACCCAGAGCTACGAGTTGCAGTTAATGGAAAAGCTGTGTGTTTGGGTAAATTTTGTATAACAAAGGTTACAAAAATGATTGATGATAATGAGGAAGTGGCAAGAGAGTGATGGGAGTCATAACGTTTATGTTAACAAATTTTCAGTTTTATTGTAACTGAAGTTGTCATTTCGTGGTTTAATGGATATTTAATATTCTGAACTGTCCATTTATTTCATTCACCTTTTCTTTTACTTCTCTCTCTGTACCACCCTCTTTCCTTAAACATGAACTTTAGCCATCCCTATAACTTGTAGGACTCACTAAGCCTCTATTGCCTCCCTACCTTCCTATATGTGCTTTTGCCTTTCTCCTCTCTCTGTCTCTTTCATAGGTATTTTTGATCAATGACTAGTTTATCAGATATATTTGCAGAAGAAAATTCACAACTTATGAGTTTGTCCTTAGCTGGTTCAAGGTACCGTGCAATATATCAATTTTGTTTTCTTTAATTTTGCCTACGGAACGATTCTTTTGTCATGGAAATGAGAACTATTAACATGATTTTCTGTAAAGTTTATACATTATTTAAGTGCTTCATTTGTTTGATGAGAAAATTCATAGTTAAGATGGAAAAGGACTACTGTTTATTAATCTTTTGGCTTACTAGGAGAACTTCACATGCACAGAAAGAAGTTATAGAGTTTTGTTTTGCTTTCTGTAGTTTTTATGTAAATGGAAAACAGGGTTAATTTCGATTGCACCTTTTCTTTGCAATAATGGAGTATTTTACAAAGGGGAGGATGTGACCACTAGCAAGAGGCACAAAGAGGAGTGCCCGCCAAAGCTTGAAAGGTTCAAAGGACATGGAGGTTTTGGTGGAATCTTTGTTTTCCCTTAATGAAATTAAAAATTAGCTTGAACATTTTAGGAATACCATTTAAGGCAGGTGAGGAGATAACTGTTTGACCGGAAATGGAGAGAGATTATGTCTCCTAAAAGATTAGTTTATATAAGGAGTAAAGAAATTTGTCAACAAGCATCTGCAAAATCCTTATTCTAAAGTGGCAAATACACAAATCCACTAGCACAAAATTTGCAAAATTCCTTATGCTGGGTTCTTATTGCTATCTATGAGCCTTTTCTCCATTGGGCTTCTTTAAAGTTTTGTGCCAGGGAGATCAATTTTCTAATTCATTCTTCATAGTGAATAGCCAAATTCAGCTACTTATTTTATTTCATTCCTGTCTGATATGCTTTCGTTTCATTGATCCTTTAAACTTTCTTTGTGGTTCTTGATTATTGCTTCTCTTTCTCCTTGACTCTTGAGGTAAGCAACTTAAAGGTGGCATTTTCTTTTCTAATGATGAATTTGACCTTTATTCACTTTGGCAGCTGGGCTCAAGTAGATGCAGATATTTAACAGAACAATGTGTTTTTGCTGAAAACTAGTGTCAACAGAAGAATACCACCTTGGCAATTTTGTACAATGCATAAGCACCTTTTATACTATGAAAACTTTATTACCAATGAGGCATTCATGTTAATATAAAGTATCCTTTCTTGACCAAGTTCCCAGCTTCGTTTTTCCTTGTTTGGTTGCCAGTGAATGCTATATGGAGGGAACAGATAAGATTTCTCAAATACTTTCATATTCATTTACAACCATGGATGTTATAGAAGTTGGTTTTTATGCGATTGCATTGATCTTCAGTGATGGATTGATTATGGTTTTAATTTGTATTTTTTATATCGATATACTCTTTTGATTACTGTGTGACTATGTTATGGTTTCAAAAATTCCACTAACACCAATAGTTGTGGTGAAGCAACAGTTCTTTGTGATGAGGCTATCTACGCAGTACCAACTATCAGATTTGCCAATCCATTCAATTTTGTAAATCTTAAAAGGTACAATAAACTCCGCATTAGCAGAAAAGAAAAATTGAAACCATACACAAGCATTTTAAATTGAAGGCTTCCCATATCTTACTGTTAATTTAATCTTCAAAAAAAAAAAAGATATCTTACTGTTAATTTATGCATTAGATTGAAACTTAATAGCTCACTTTCATTTTCTATATGAGAAGAGGTCACAAATTCTTTTCAGATTTCAGAATACATACTCCATCATCCTTTCTAACTTTTTACTTATCTCGAAAATACCTTTTCCCTCCTCTTTTTGGTTATACATTTATATTGGAAATTTGTAATCTCATCACTGTTTCTTTTCATACTGCCAATCTATGCACATCAGAGGCAGTCATATAGAATCCATGCTCAAGCTTTTGACTCTGAAGGCTCTGCAGGGATGAGAGCATTTAAGGTAAAGACCAACATAGAAGTCAAGGGACAGAGGGGAGATGGAGGAGTCAAGGACCACGGAGTTAACGATTTCATGGCTTGGAAGAATTCAACACAAGGGGCATCATACACTGCAAGTCCTGGTGAAGCGGAAAGAAGTAAGGAAGAGAACCATCTTCTTAATGCCAGTGACATCTTTTTAGCATCTGATGCGCCAGAGCTGGTTGTATTTATTCAAGAGAGTGATTATCAGTCTGTCAAGGATATTTTCATAGATAGGGAAGTTACTTCACGGAGTGGATTGAACGACAAAGATATCTCTTCCAAGTTTCACACGGATGTCAATGGTGACAGCGAAGAACCCAGAAAAACTCTCAGGTTAATGTCATCCATTTCCAATGAGATTGAAGAGGACTTCCAGAATTATGTAAGGAAACAGCATGCTCTCAATGCTTTAATGAAGGATGGTGAAGAAGAATCTGATGGAAGAGATGATCGTTTACTTTATAAGTCCACTGAGAAGATGATTCCTGAGATGCAGCACGTGAAAGAGGTAAGAAGCTACATGCTCCCATGCTTAATACATTATCACCTAAGATGAGTGAAAACAGTAATTTCATAGCTCAATCTTCTTGCAAATGATTTCAAATTGACTTTCTTACTGCAGCATTTGGTTGTTTTTTAAAAGACAGTAACAGTTCATTTTACAGGCTGTTTTCAGCAGTTCCTGGGAATTCGTTATTTTATTACTTCAGAAGAAAGGATTTGTTATTTCTGCCATCTTCTACTTTGTCTATGCTGTTCTGTAGAAACAAATTGCATTTTATCTAGGATTCAGGTTCTACAGGCTGAGAAAGCATGGTGAAGGCCTCCATAGTACTGTGTGGTGCCCACCATGAAACCTCTCACCTATGATCTATCCCAAACTCCCTCCTGCACCCTTCCCCTTTTTTCTCTGGAAAAGAAATAGGAAGAAACAAAAGCCAAAAGTAAAAGGAAAGAGAAGTAAACAAAAGAAGTCCCAGCTTATAGAGGAGTTAATATTGGTTGCATTCTAAGAAGAGTTTCAAAGGATAGTTTCCAGAACTTTTTATGTTCAGGTTTTCATATACTATTGTCTGCCAGTACAAGGAAGCGGAAAAACCTAGTCTCTCTAGCCAGATTGCTTATGCTTTTGTGCTGTCTTCAACTATCATTGGCATATACCACCTTGTATCAGAAAATATGATAGAAACCTTAACAAAGCTCCATCTTTGATGTGTTTTTCAAGATTTGTCAAAGAGGTGAGAGGTTCATATCTCAAACCTTCCGGGTGAAGTTGAAACATGTTTCTTGTTCTAGGTTAGTAATTATAGGTTTTCAAATTTTGTCAGCCATACTTCTGGTTGTCACCATAAATTGTGTTTGGGAAAATTTGTGCTAAAATGGAAACTTGAATTGGTGGCAATGGTGGCTAAGGTGAATAGTGGTAACAACCATTGCATAAAAGGTATTCTCGTTGGTCCCGGTGAGAGATATGGCCAAAGTTGTGGCTAACGTATTAGTTTGTTGGTATGCCTGGCTATGTTGTTTGTGTTATTTTACCAGCTGAAGATTTTTAGTATCTATGGTAAGTACTGCATCTCCAACCTGTAACTTCGCCTCTACTAGATTTCCCCTGCATCATCTTTTCAATATGCAATAGCAGTTTACCAAAGAATTTCCAGATTTTGATTCATTGAGCACATCTGCAGGTTCAAATTCAGGATGCCATTTCATTGAACCCTGTGGAACCATCTGCAACTGAATCAATTGAAGACAATAGCCATTTAAATGAGGTCTCTTCCAACACTGGAGCCGAGAGTGGAAGCACCATTCATCTTTCTGATTCGTCCGTAACCACCATGAGTAGCCTTGAGGAATTTTTAGAAGGTCCAGAGTGTCAACAGCCTCATAATACTGAGCGCTTATCCAGGACTGAAGATAGGACGTCAAGAAGTCTAACAGGTCCAAGTCAAAGCTTTGTTAATCAGCTTGCTCATGGGGATTGTGGTTCCTTTGCAATTGGTCCTCTTTCAGGCCCAATAACATATTCAGGACCAATACCATGTTCTGGTAGCATTTCTCTGCGATCAACTAGTAGCACTGCCAGCTCTAATTCTTTTGCTTTTCCCATGTAACTTCTTATTCGTCATGATTTCATTGTGCTCTTCACAGTTATCCGTAAAAAACTGTTGGCTCATTGTTTGGCTTTTATGAGCAGATTGCCATCAGAATGGAGTGGCAGCCCGGTAAGAATGGTGGAAGCTGACCAGAGACAGCCGAGGAAGCAGCAAAGTTGGAGAGCCTGTTTTCTCTGCTGTAAATTCTGAATGCTAGCTACATGTGCCCTTCATTGCTTGCTTATACAACACTAATATTTCCTCCTCCCTGATTTTGTATTCATATTTATGCTGTGCAGGATTCCAAAAATCATGCTTATGGGTTCATGGTGTAATGTAAATGATAAACCTAGCAACGGTGCTTGTCATACGATTTTTTGCCTTTGGAAGTCTTAGGAATGTGTTCTTTCCATATTCATACCTTCCAGCACTGTCAGTGAGCAAGTTGTGAAGTTTGTTGGTTGCGAAGCAATTAGACAGAAATTTGGCTCCAGCCAAGTCAATAATTTAGACAAAGCCTTCTCAAATTTCCTTTTTGCTTTCCAAAGATGTAATAATCTTAGGTTATAATTCTTTCAGTTGACAATAAATGCTTTTGGATCATTGGTGAGTTGATATACAGTCAATGACTGATAGAAGGTTAGCTCTAATTTTGTCATTTCCGTTAGTTTCCGTATCTTATCTGCTGTTCCAGAGTTGCATAGTTTTGACAAGTTTCGCCTGACATCAGTGAATAATGACCTTATCTGTTACACTTAAGCAACTGATGATGGTCCAGTAAGAATCAGACTGCGAAGCACTATCCTAGAAAGTGGCTTGTAATTCCTGGTGTTGTTGCTTATACCAAGCTATAGATACCAAGGCTGTCATCATGGGTGGCTTTAGATAACTGGGACTTGTGCTTGTGCTTGAGTTGATGAAAATCGACATTGACAAACACGTGCATAGCAAGGGTTGATAGTCGCTTGGTGCTTACGGCATTCCTTATGCAGTTGATTGACCCAAATCCCATAATCTTCTTTCCCTTTCATGCCATAACTGCTTTCCTCTCACATGTCCAGCTAAGGCACAGTGTTCTTGTCGCCTTTGACAAGTAAATCAATGCCGGGTCTTCCCTTTCAGACTTTACGTACATTGGATTATTGCAGACATAATTTAGGTGGAAATCTTAACTGCTTTTTTATTCTGGGATGGTGGTTTCTTATTGAGCAAATGGAACTGTTTTTGGGCCAAGCAAAAGCTACCTTGGGCATGGACAGGCAAAAATCAAGGATTCTTGACACAGACATCAAATCTGCAAAGTGTTAGCCGGTACCAGCACGGGTAATTCGTTGTCAGTATTGTTTCCTTGGAGGACCACTTGACCTCTTATTTATATGGCCCTCCTAATCCAAACCAGGTTGCGAGAATTCTCAAATCTGTAACATCATGTCTATGACCAATTTTGGAGGTCAAATCCCAGTCTGATAACAAGAAATCAATCTCGGAGCAAATTTCGAATATTTGCACAAATTTGCAGGACACAAATACCATTTCAAGTTCATGCCATCATTTGAATCAGAGTAAAATCACCATTTACTGCAAGTGTAGCGTATCCATCAAGGTAATCCAATGGATGTTCAACTAATTTCTGGTGACCTTAATTCTTAAATTGCTCAACCCCGGTTCTCAAAAGTTTGGTGGAACCCAATTTCGCAACCATAATTGGCTCACCAGTTGCACACATCAAAATCAGCGCTACCAAAGATGAGGGCCAATGGCCAAGACCACACAGCAAGGAGTTAAGGACCACCTCCATGTGCCAAACTTCGAGGTGCTAATTTTCTGTCGCGATCCATGCCACAGTGTTGCTTTGGCCATGCCAAGGCAATGTTGGACCCAGTCTGGTCCATTGCCAGTGAATCTTTAAATGATCCTTCCCTTGGCTATCAAGGCAAATAAGATGCATGGGCAAACCAGAAGCCTCATTGGTCACATGTGGCCTAAGCTCACGTTCGCAAGCCGTGACCATTCCGGGCGTCTTAGACTATTCCATGGCCGACCATTTCCGTTAGTCTTCAATCGGCAGACAAGTAAGATATTTGGGCGTGAATTAACTAAAATTTCACCTACAGTCCTTCACCCAATAATAGTAAACTCTAAGAGGAACACTTGAATTAACCAAATAGAGAACTTGGTTCTTTGCCTCTGAATAATCGACTAAATCCTGACGAAGACAAAGAGCGAGCCAGTAAAACCAGTTAAAACGGGTTTAAGACTATTGTCATAATTGTCTCACTTTCATGACTACAATGCCTTTTTAAGAATTCCTGGCGTGCCCACTTAGAGGAACATTTTCCCTTTTTACAACTGCTATACATTCTGTTCTCACTTCTTTCTGATGGTAAAGACGTTCATGTTTTTACCTTTAAATGATCCGGGATGTAGTGCTGCGAGTGCCTACTGGAGCCTGGACCTTCTTGTTTGGAGAATTTATTAGGCAAAGTCCCTGTCAATGCACGGGCCGAAACTTTGATTCATCGGGCTTTTCAGGTTCTGTAATCTCTGGATCAATCCAACACAACATCAAATCACACTGACAGCACAGTCCCGCGGACACTGTGAGAGAGAGTGAGGGTTTAACAGCGGAGCGGAGACTCCTAGCAAGGACCACCATTCACCAAAAAGATCTTTTCCTCTCTTCTGTCGTAATTGTCACAAACTGCAGCCGCATAAAGCTTCAATCTGTTCTTTTCAGCCATGGGATGAGATTTTAAAATATATAGCTTGCTGCTCCTCAAGGTTAGTCTCTTGTAGTCTTATACCGTGCTGGTTTGGGCATTTGGTTAAGCTATATGTCACTGGCAGCGCACATGACTATAATCTGTCAAGCCAACACTGGGTTTCTCAATCAATATTCAACAGCCAAGGTTTTCTTCAAATGAATTTACAGGAGGGCCACCAAGTTCATGGGAATACTTTAATGTTGTAGCACACCAAAGCACAACAGATATGAAGAACATATAATGAAGGATCATTTACGTAATTTAGAGTGCAATTAATCGAGATTGAGATAAAATGAAAAAGTACGTTTCGATTTAGCAACGGTAGTTTTCAGCTGGAAACTTTGACTGACCACCGCCCTATCAGCAGCGGCAGGATTTGGCCAAACTAGAAGGACAGCAGAGGACCAGGACCAGTGGTGGTCCAGCCTCATGCCCTGACCCCTCCTAATAGCCAAGTTGATGAATGACAACCCCGTAAATTTAGACTATGTAGCAAACCCCAATCTCCTTCAAGCTTGTACCAGAACTTCAGATCAAGCCCCATGAAAGCTTCTTATCATTGTTTCAGCCAAAAAGGGACCACTCCAATGCTCAGCCCCCAATGCCCCAACATCGCAAAGATCAATATCCCCTAAAGGACCACATCAAATCCCTCACCTAATTTACCACCCCCCCCAACCGCCACACCTTATCTAGAGTCCAAGGTCCGAAAACCACATTTAATGTGGGCAAACATCTAAGCAACGATGAAAGATAAGACGAAACACTGAATTCCATTCCATCATCAATTATCATCCATCTAGACGTTGGGAATTGAACTAAAGCTAACCAAAAACAATGTGCCAATGTGGTACGGCAAACTCGCTTCCCAGAAAATCTCTGCTCAAAATCAAAGGGCCCTGGGAAATAGTGAGGATCACATCAGACTTCAGAACCCAAACTGATACATGACTCGTATGGCCATATGGGGGTGAGACTTGCGAGACCACTTCTGCACATGCCCTGGACCCACCGATCCCCAGTTTACCAGTAACAACCACCACCACCACCACCCACCTAAATCGCCACATCATCGTCTTCGTCATCATCACCATTGCCGATTTACAACCCGGTTTTCACATCCCCATCAATCCACACTGTGAGCACTCAAAAGTTTCGACCCGACCCTCCCCGAGGTTTAATCCACGTGGCCCTACGCATTAAGACTATCCCCGGTGTCTCACCACCGCCACGTGGAGTCATAGTCGCGCATGGGACTAGTCTCTTCCTTTCCGGGGCCCAGCAAAAAAAAACACTTCCCAACCAACGTCTTACATAGGAGTAGTAGCCTCAACACTGCCTCTTTATCCGTACATTTCCCCATCCCTTCCCTTCCTTCCCTCCATCAAAATCAACAACACCGCCGTTTGCAATTATCATCACCGTTTTCCTTGTTTCATGATGACGTGGCACATTTTGAAGCCAAACAGCGATGCTGTTTTGGCTGCCATATTAAGCCGCTGATTGGTCATATCTTGCACTATCTACAATTAATTAATTAATTAATAGAACAGAGATTAGGGATGATGATTACCATTGCCATGCACAAAGCTACAAATAAAACTATCATTAAGAAAAACAAACACTCTATATTTTGATTAATTTAATTCCAGATACATCAGAAAAAAAAAAGATACCCTCCCAAAAAACCAATTAGGAAAATAGCCAAAAACAAGAAAAGAAAAATACTAAAAACTAATATGAAAGTTAGTTGCACATGAACACCAAGAAGATCAAACTCGCAACACCTTCCAATATCACCAAAAGAAAACTTCAATATTAAAAAAAATAAAATTTAAAAAATTTACACAAGAAGAAACAGTCACATTCTTATATCCATATAACTCTCTTCAATTTAGGCTTTCCTTCATTTTTTTTTTCTATTTTTTTTCCTGAGAGTTTTCACTTTTGTAGTTAATAAATAATTTAAGGGAAAAAGGGGAAAAAAGGTAAGATAATTTACGGGAGATAGAGGTTAGGATGATCTTGATCAGTCCATTGACTCTGACTCCAATACGTCTCATCAACAGCGTTAGGAAGATCAAACAACCCTTGATCTCCACTCCCTTGCCAATCCAACGGTCCAAATCCTCCAGAGCCCTCACCCTCCGATCTACTATGCAAATTTGATAGCTCAACCTGCACCGTCTGATCAAGCAATCCCCCGCTGATTTCCTCCCCTCCTACACTCATCATCTTTTGCTGCTGCTGCTGCTGCTGCCACTGCCCTTGCTCAAGTCCTTGCCCATTCAATACCGTACTGAAACCAAACGACAAAGTTTCGTTGTTTGATGAAGTAATCAAGCTCGTAAAACTCCCAATCTCGGAAAATATCCCGCAGTCCGATCCTTGTTCCAGCAATCCTGGCTCGAACCCTAAATTATTAGGGTTTCCATAAAACTTCGACTCGCTTACATTTATCAAGTTAGAATGAGATGTTACTGCCGACACCGCCTCAGCAGTGCCACCAGCAGAACTATTATTGTTGTTGTTGTCGTTGTCGTTATTGTTATTATTATTAGTCACTGCAACGTTAGAATTGGCTGCAGTAAGACTCGAACTCTCGCTGCTAGAATGAGAATTCGCTTTACGTTGATCACAGTGCTGCTGCTGTGGCTGTGGCGGTGCGGCGGCGGCCGCCGCAGCTGCTGCTGTGGCGGTTTCGGGTGAAGGTTTGGTTTTCGAGCGCTTGGCTTTGCGGCAGCCACCGCCCACGGGGACGTTACGGAGGACGCCACCTTTTGTCCAGTAACGACGGCAGCTCTTGCAGAAATGACGTGGCTGAGAGAGGTTGTAGTTGTTGTAGTAACAGAATTTTGTGTTGAGAGAATCGCAGCGTGGACACTTGAGTGCTTGGTGGCTTGGGTGGTGGTGCGGTCGTAACCTTCTGTCTCCTCCGCCGCCGCCTCCTCCTCCTCCTCCTCCTCCGCCGCCGTTGAAGATACGGCCACCTCCGATTGTGTGGATGTCTTGCATTACTCACAACAATTTCGCTCCAACAAAAAAAACTGAAAGCGAATTTGTCGGAAACTCGGATCTTAATCCGGTATATTTATTTGAGCTTTTATATACACAAAGATTCCAGAGAAGTTTTGCAAGAAACAAGAAAAATAAATAAATAATCACGAGTGAAGAGCTTCTGAGAGGAAAAATGCACACAGAACAGTTTTTGAACTTGTCTGACAAAAACCCCTTTGCATATTCTTCTAGTAACAAGATCGTATTTCTCAATTACCAAATCAGCCTTTTCAGAAAACCAAATTACCTAAATTTTGGTATAGGATTCTTAATTACGAAATTGACCTTGTGCAGATGGGTGGGAGATGGGAGTGGAGAGTGGGATTGTAGGGAGGGATATGGAAATTGCGTAACTGTACGAAGAGAGAGATCGGGACCGTTGGTGGGAGACACTGGGAGGGTAAAGGAGGAGAGGTATTTGATGTCCACAAAATCAGGTTGTCGAGTTTGTCGGCCACCCCAGTCTATCTGCTGGGACTAGCCTGGTGTCAGCACAACTGGTCTAGAGCCTCCCACGTTGCACAACGTAAATGACCGGTTGTAAAAAAATTAAAAGTATAGTACTACCAGGTTACTGTACCATGTATCCAGTGATTCTAGTCAGTGAGTCAGTCCCCTGAGATTGCGATACGCCGTAACAGGGTTGCTTGGGATCTGATACTGGAATGGGTTTTTTTTTATGTTTTTCTTTTTGTTGCTAAAAAGCTTATTGGATGTTTGTTGCATATTGATACTGTATATTAATTACTTGTACATAAATTAAAAAAATAATTATACATTGTGCCAAAACAACAATCAAACCAAACACAGACCAACTGTTCATTGCAAGCTCAAACTACCTTCTTGTTGAAATTAGCTTGGTAACTAGAATGCCATCAAGAATGAGTTTCTAATCATGCATGCTCCTCTTTTAACACCATTAATCACTTTTTTTATACCATTTGGCAAGCTAAAAAGGGGCATTCATGTTTCATTATAAATTTGCAGATGTGTCTTTAGAAAAAGTGAAGTCATTTCTAGCTACTATATGAACCCTTTAGAGGTAGGATCTGTCACTATCTTTCCCATGAAGAGTTAAAATGAAATCCCAAGAAAATCCCATACTAGGTTATATTTTGAGGCTGTGGGAAGTACGCCTTCTCACGTGTGTTTCATATTCACATATTCAAAACAAAACAAAAAATAAAATAAAAATTGCTTGCAATTTTTCAAATAGATATTTCTAACTTTTTGTATTGACAACGCATTTAATCTAATTTAAGGACACTCTCACAAGATACCATGGAGTTAGGTCTCACTGAAGGCTATGTTGATATTGCTCCAACCCCACTTTGGGTCACAATCCTTTAGAGTCCCTAACCCTATTACATCTCAACCCCAACAATGAATGCGACAAGGATGCAAGAATGCCATAATCTGGTTCTGCAATATTGCACCACTTGTTTACTCCGCAATATCACATTATACATCAATATCCCCTAGGCCATCCAAGATTTTGACATTTTAGAGTTTCTTTATACATCAATATCCCTAGGCCATCTAAGTTTCTTGATATCATCTTATCTAATAGTATTTTTTTAAAAAAAAAAATTTGAAGAAAGAATCGAATTTTATTTTTTAAGTAAAGGATTATATATCAACCAATTAATCATATATTTAAGTACTCAATGTATCTAATAGTTTGATTATCGATTTTGTAATATTTTTTACGTGTCTTTAAAACACATCTTAATAGTTATTATTTGAAATTTTAACTTAAAATGGATAGATTTTATAAGATGAGAGAAGATTATTCTTTTAATTGGGCAATAAAGGATTGAATAGAAGAGAGTACAAGACAAGGGAATGGAGGAGAATGAGATTTGACAATGATCATATGCATTAATCGTCTTTAATTGATTTTCCCTTTGGGTAATGTGCCATTATTAAGGTTTCCTACTTGTTACAAAACCAAAGACACACAGAGGCGCGCACGCCATAGGTATGACAAGCGCTGTTGTTCCAAAATGTGACTTGACCTAAAGTTCATCGAGAATTTATTAGTATCAATAAAAATGTAGGCGCCTATAACACGACTTTGAGAGGTTCCAATCCAACTTGTATTTATTAAAAATCTTGGATCCCAAACCATCTCCTGATTCAATTCTTGGTCTTTGTCACCAACCCCAAGCCTGTTTGCGGTGATTAATTCAGTGGTCAAGGCATTAGTCATCTAATGACATCCTTGGAACAAAATTAAGAGCACACAATTAGGGCTCTAACGTGGTGCATCGTGGCAATGACAAGTGGCGCAATGTAGCTCCAACATTGCACTAGATCATTAATTCATACTCGAATCATCTACAGCGTTTGTAAGCAAAACACGTACTTGTCCGCTTCATACATAATTGAAATCAAGATCAGTGAGGTGAAGAATGGAAATTCTCTACTCCTCCCTGCCTCTTTTCTGTCATATCTCTATTTTAATGTCAAGTGTCCAAAATGTTAAGGTCTCCCATAATTACAAGCCACAGAGCAGGGTGGAGCGTCCCTTTGTTTGGGGGGCCATGACCTTTTAAAATTTTTAAAATTTTTTATATATTATATATTTTTAATAATTTTTTAAAATAATTTTTTATTAAATAATTAATATAAATAAAAAATAATAAAATAAACGTTTTATTGAATTTTACTTAAACTCTTAAATTTTTCCTTAACTCTTTAAGTTTCTTCACACTTTTTTTTTCTCTTCTTTTCTCTTTTTCATTTTTTTTGTCATTTTATTGTAAAATTATAAAGAGGTAAATTTTTTAAAAATATTTTTATTTATATTATTATCTATATATTTTAAGTTTTTATAATTTTTTTAAAAAAATTTTTACGAACCATCAATCATATTTTTTTTTTATATTATGTACGTTATATTTTCTACTTCTCATGTTCTTTATGTTTATTATGTGAATTTTATTTTCAATAATTTTAGTCTTTCAAAATTAAAAAATTATTATGTAATTTTTAAATATAAGTTCTAATATTGTATTATTAGTTATTACTTAAAATTTCATCAATATATTATTTTTTATTAATCCTAATTATATAAAAAGAAACTATCTTAAGTATATCATTTTAATGTGCTTTACATTTTATGTTTAGTTAAAAAAAATGATCTTAAGTGCTTAATCTTTAAACAAACTTGATTAAATAAGGGAAAATTATTAATTTTGTATATCATATTTAATTATTTATATTTTTTACATTATAATTTAATATTTAGTATTTTAAGTTTAAATAGAATAAAATAAAAATATTAGATATTGATTGTATTAATATTCTAATCATTTATATTGGAAAAGGCATTACAATTATTGAATGAAACTTTCTCAGAGAAATATTATAAGGTTTTTTATAATTTTTTATTTCCTTGTTATGTAAAATTATTATTTATTATGAATTTTTTGATTGTTAATGATTAAGTTCAATATATTAATTTTAAAAAAAAATTTATTTTTTTATTTTTGATTTTTTAATAAAAATTGACTAATGTCGTTCCTGACAATGATTTTATTTACTTGAGAAAAATAAGGAGTAATGTTACTACTACATAGTCCTTTTTGCGTTGTGCAGATTTTGTTTTGTTCTTCACATGGGCACTGAGATTGGTGAGGGGATTTTGCCAATAGGACTCTAAAAAGTTTTTCATTACCTTAAGGTCATCCATTAAACAAGATTAATAATCCTAAACACATGGCATTAAAATATAGATAGAACAAGAAAGGGGTACGAAGAACGGACAGAGGATTTTCATTATAGGTGATAAGATGGTGAGATTTTAATTAAATTTCAATAAAATTTAGAGATAAATATCTAAATAGAAATATATTTATATTTTGATTTGTAGATAAATATGTGTCATTATGCAACGAAACAGAATAAGGTTAAGCTTTGCTTTGGTTGGTAGTACAATGAAAAGCTTTAATGTCATCAACGCTTGACTTTCTGGCACTATGTCAGCTGCTCATTAACAGGCATAGATCAAGCCTATAGATCAAGTCTGGCTTGGTAGAGAGGGGTAAAACATTTGAAGATGGAAGAGACCTTTTAAAGCTTGATGAAAGGACAAAACTGTGATAGACATAAAAGTCTTTCAATGTACTCACAACGTTATGCTTTAAGGGTGTTAATAATTTTTAAGGAGACAACTTAACAATTTGTTCTTTAAACTTTCTAATTTGGAGGTTATCTAAATTTTAAACATTCAGATTTGTTGAGAAGAGAAGGTGGGAATTTATAATCATTTATCTTTTTAAATAAAAATTGATAAAATAGTTTTCTTCTTAAAATATTTGTTAATAATAATATAAAAAATATTTTCAGGGAAAAACTAAGTTGATAATCATATATAAACAATTTTATAGAACTTTAATGAATTTGAATATTTAAGGTGTCAATATATCAAGAAAACAGAGTCAAATACAAGTATTGATGATAATACTTCTAAATCTCTATGGAATTTAAAAAGGTATTCCACACTTATCATTTTCATAACATCAATTTTTATTTTTTAAAATCAAGGCTCACTTCATTTATTTATTTGTAGAAGGATATAAACAGCTCAAACACAAAAGAGAACCGTTCAAAACCAAAAGAACTTCTCAAAATAAACTTCCTCCAACTCCACAAGATAGAGTTAGACTTAAAACCCAATTGGTTGTATTAGAGGAGTTTTTTTTCAATCATTAACCAACGAGAATTGACCCATTTGAAAGCAACAAAGACAACAAAAGTTTCTTTAATTGTAAGTAATTCAGCAAGATTTGAATCTCCAATGTCAAACATTTAGAAATCGTAAGCTTAATGGAGCCTACCTCATCACGTAACGCCTCCCCAATTTTCATAGCACCAGGATTGCCCCTCAATGCTCCTTCAATCTTTAACTTGAGAGAGTCATAGGAAGGTCATTCCCACATAATCTCCTTCGTATTGTCAAAGACAGACCTAAAAATATTTATGAGTGATGTCATAATTAAAATAACAATAATAATTAAAAAATATAAACATGTTCAAATTCATAAACTAGAAGTTTTAACATTAAATTAAAGAAAATGTAAATTTAGTATATTTATTTAATATTTCAAAGTAAAAATATCTAAGATAACTAAGGAAAAAAAAAATCTAAGATAACTATAATTGTTTATGACCATTTTTCATATTATAAAACAGTGTACAATAATATCAATAGAAATCCTATC